AGGCCGGTATGAGAGTATTTAAACTAGCTAGACTGAAGTAGAACCTCATTGTCTTAGATTTATTACTTTCGTTGTATCTCCAGTCGACCTCTAATTAGGCTCAGCTAGAATATATAGAGTAGTTGAATTATCTGGAGATTGACTCTATACCTCCAGTGAACCATAAAGGGAGGCTCTCCTAGAGTATCTAGAGTAGTGGATGATGAGAATGAGACTGTTCGAGCTGCTCTTGATCTCCAGTGTCTTTGTTCATAGATCAAGCTTGAGTATCTAGAATCCCATTGGAAATCTCTTTGTTCATAGTGTACTATCTAGCCTTAGTGAACCTCTCACTAAGCTCAGTTCTAACATCCAGAGTAGTCGAACTAGTTGTAGATTTACTCTGCATCTCCAGCGAACCTATAGGGGGGCTCTTCTGGAGTATCTAGAGTAGTTGAACCATCTGTAGATTTACTCCATACCATACCTCTAGTAAATCTATAGAGAGGCTCTCCTAGGGTATCTAGAGTAGTTGAACTCAGTGTGTATCCGAACCTCCCAGAGGAAGGGTGTCAGCAGAGCTTTCTAAGCCTGTTGAGAGAAAGGGCGCTATGTGCTTTGTACTTGTATAGAAGTCTAGATAGCAAGGACATAGTAATAAAGATGAATACAGAAGGAATACAGAAACTCAAAACATCAGGGATGAAGTACATGCTGATACAGGTTTTAAAGGGGGAACAGAGCCTTCAATAGATTTTAAATCAAATACTATAAACTGGTTTTTCACCCTCAAAATGTAAACTGGATTACTCATGGCAGACCTCTGACAATGATAGGCAAAGGACACACTCCCCGTGTTTTAAAGCAATGGGACAGCCTGCTTAGCAAGTTATTTTTACATCTAAATCACCTTGAACCTAGCCGAATGCAGTTAAGGCTAGGAGGTCTTTTAATTTCTTTCTAAATTACTGCAAGACACTGATACATGTAATGCAGCTGACAAAGGGAAGTTCTCATTACAACAATGTCAGCAATAAACCTGCATAGATGGCCGATATCAAAAACAACTGGAATAAATACAGAAACTCAAGAGCTGATATTGAAATACTACAAATTGCCTGATCAGCATCTCGAAACTGCATATTAACCACCCTAGGGGGGGGGAGGGGTATGCAGCTAATTGAATGAGCAAAACAGGACAGCCAAGAAACAAGAAGATTGGAAAAATGATTATCTGCATTCTGCATTAAATACATGTATCAAATAATTTGTTTCATAAAAAAAATTAAAAATAAATAAATTGATAAAGTTAAAAGAGTAGTTGAACTATCTGTAGATTTACTCTATACTTGCTTCAAGAGTATGAGATGACTCCACAATATCCAGAGTAGTTGAACTAACTGTAGGTTTACTCTATACCTCAAGTGAACCTACAGGGAGGATCTCCTAAAGTATCTAGAGTAGTTGAACTATCTGTAAGCTTATTATATAACTCTAGTGAACCTATAGGGAGGCTCTCCTAAAGTATCTAGAGTAGTTGATGATGAGAATGAGGCCATCCAACCTCTGGTAGTCCTTGTAAGATATATCATCCTGAGCACTGCCAATGAAGTACAAGTCCCCAGGCCCTGATTAGAAAACAGTGGAGCTAAGCTCTAACGTGTGTTCTATCTGAGATCTTGGAGTGTACTGATCCTATTCTCTGGGTCAGAGTCAGACAAATGGTTAAAGGCTTTTGCATCAAGTCATTCATCTAAATATTACACCATGCTTTAAATACAACACTGTTTTTATTGTTGCAAACAATAAATTTTTATAGGTTAAATAAATGGATACCCAAATAGGCAATCAGAAAGTTTATTTATTTGTTTAACATTTTGTTTAATGTGCTTCAGAACATATTACTCTCCAACAGCAGTTTGGAGGCTTTTTAGTTTAAAACAAACAGACAGTGTTTTTACAATTACTTTTGTATATTTGTTTCCCGAGCTAATCTGTTAAAGGTTGATTGGAAGTACCACTAAGCCTCAGACTCTCTTGGATCAAATCTACTTCTTTTAGACTCTCTCCTCAAACGTAACAGTGTTATGGTTGGTGATGATACAGTTCAATCTAGGATAGATTGACTGATATTATTTTATTTTTTAACAAAGTGTACATTTACACAAGATAATAGGAAATTAAAGATTTATCATATATTCGAACAACAAACAAATATACATTTTCGTTAATACAAGGATAAAATCCAGACATTTAAAAGCTCATAAAAAAACTGCGATAATCTCAATAACTCAAAACTCAGTTTATTTCTAAGATTCCAAGGAAACAATGTGATAAAATAATAGACAAGCTCATTCTAAAGGTATGATAATATATATAATGCCTAATTAATACCTTAATGCGTGGTAAGCAAATCACAATTTGGTATATCACAACTGAATATCAAACTGAGCATACAGTGAGCGGGGGAAGGCAGGCGGCCATGAGCAACCACTGTTTCCCCTTCCGTACCACATATTAGCTTTTTTCTCTTCCGGCAGCCATGAGCCACCACTATTTCCCCTTCCGTACCACCACATTTGACTCTTCCGGGCAAAACTACTTTTTTAAATGGTATATTTAGGGCCTTTAAAGTGTGATTTTCAAAAATCCAGCCGCGTCATGCAATACATATATTTTTAGATCTCAATATTTCAGTGTTAATATGTAATAAGGATGATTTCTCTTAATGTAAACTGTAAAACTTTTTTTTTNTTCAAAATCCACAAAATTTTTTCATGAAGTCCGCGAAATTTTTTGTTTTTGTTTAACAATTTACCGAGAGAACATGTTCACAATTTAGATAGAAGATGATACAAATAATAATAATATAATATTTTTTACAGATTACATAAATTAATTTAGGAAGATTAAAGCTAAAAGGTAGGTAGCCTTTTATTTGGTAAAATTTGTTAATGCCATGAACAATTGGGAAATCAAAATCAAATCCAATTTAAACCATAATTTGATATATTTCTTAAAATCTCTAAATATGCCTATGACTGCATGAAAACATGATTTTTCTCTGTTTATGGCACTCAGGTTTAGCCATGAATGCATATTGAGTAGGAATGGGCACTTTTGGTTGTTGTTTGAAAAAATTTTAAACAACCATTTTTAGAATTTGTCGTTTTGGAAAAAAATCATTTTCTGTTCAAAACGAAAAAAAAATATTTTTATCGTTTCAGTTTTGAAACAAAAAACGATATTTTATAGTTTTTCGTTTTGAAACGAAAAAGAATATTTTTTTGTTATCTGTTTAAAATGAAAAACAATCATCAATCTTTTTCAGTTTTCTGTTTCAAAATGGAAAACAATTTTTTTGTTTTGTTTTCTGTTAAAAAAACGTAAAACAAATGTTGATGAACTTTTTACTCTAAAGTCAAAAAACTAAAGAATGTAATAATACAATAAAAAATGCGGGAAATCAAAATGGTCGTGATAAATATGGAAGATATAGCTTAAAGTTGCAGTTTAAGTTAAGCCAGAAGTGGTGCCGGGCAGCACTTAAGCTGGAATTTTTTGTTCTTTAGTTTTAGACTTATAGAAGAATTATTTAACCATCTCATCCCTTGATTTATATTAATAAAGATATTGAGACAAGCATAGTAAACAAAAGCATACTAGTTAAAAAGTTTTATTGGAAACATGCCAATTTCTCATTTAGACGATTTTCCAATATTTTGAAAATGGACCACTAACAGATTAAGTTGGTCATTGTTTTTATCCATGTTTGTAGAACATTGAATCTGTTAATTGGCTTTCAGATATTTTAAATAATTCAGAATTTTATTCTTAGTATATTTATTTTGACTCTGACATAAGAAACAGGGTTTCCTATAAAATATAACACCAGAAATTTTTAAATTTTAATGGGCTGAAGGTTAAAAGGGAGTGTTAGCGATAAATGAAAGGGGGTATAGTCTTACGTCAAAAAATAAGAGCTTTTGATCGCTTCTAATCTTACTTCTATCTGATGAGTCTATAAAGAGAAATTTGATAAAAACAACTCATGAAAGTGAAAATGAACATTCAGAAAGTTGCAAGATTCAACTCAGACTGTATAATAATCAATTTAATTCATATATAGTTAATATTTCATAATATTTTTGATTTTTTTTTTTTATATATATATTTCACTGGTGCTGGATTTTCGAACATTCCTGGAAAATATGAAAATATTGTCTTCATTATTAAAAGTCCTCGAAACAGGAATAAATGTTTTCAAAATTAATCAGATCATAAAAAAAGTATTATAAAATGTCAGCTATAAACAAATGCGTCAAAAAATGATCAATGATTATTGGTCGTAATATCTGAATTGTTGTTGCATTGTATTTGCATGGACGATACTTTCTTCGGTATGAGTCGTTTTTAACAATTTTCTCCTGAAACAGATAGAAGTAAGATTACTAGCATTCAAAAGCGTTTTTTTTTCACCGTAAGCCTATACCCCCTTTCATGTTTCAGGAACACTCCCTTTTAATTCGGTCCTAAACCTTACAATTTTTCAAGTTTTCGTTTTTTAAGCAAAAACATTTTTTTTCGTTTTCCTTTTTGAGAATCGTTTTAGGGTTTTTTAAAACGATTTTAAAATTTCAAAACAATCGTTTTGAAAAAAATTGTTTCGTTTATAAACAAAATTATTTTTTTAATTTTTTAATGATGAAAAACAAACCAATATTATTTTCCAGATTTTATAACCTGCAATTATTAACATACTTTCAGATATACATGATTTTAAGGTAGAAATCCAGTTAGGTATTGAATCTAGGAATTGTTTTAATATAATCTTAAATTTGTTTGTGTTCTGTTTAACTAACTATACACTATTGAAAAAGCTCAGACTGAACGAGATCAAAGGAGAAAATAAAATATATGCAATATTACTGTACCAGTTTTGTACTTTCATATGAAAAGCTAAATTATCAAGTTATAAATTTGAAACATTAAACATCATATAAATCTTAAATGAAATTTACTTATTTTAGACGTGTAAGATGTATACCTGTATGTCCACAATCTTCTTCTCCAAATGATGTAATTCCCACCAAAAAATATCTATGAACGAAACAGCTGTTGTAAATTTTTTTTATAAAAAAATGATAATTTATGTTTTATTAAAATGGAGGAAGAGCATTGGTTAACGTATAAAATGCATTTTTTTGCTGAAAAATAGGTGATTTTTTTTATAAACATAGATATTTTTCTTAAAAAAGTATACGAATTTCTTGGAAAAATCTTTTAAAAAAATAAAATATTTAGCAAGAAATTCAACCCTACAAACTACAAACTATAAACGGAGACAGACATAAAGGAGCATCAATCTTGATCCTCATATCATCTGTTTTACCATAATCCTTTTTTTTGATCCAAACATTCCCTGTAAATAAGCAAAGATTGTGCATACATATATTCATCTTAAATCATATATATTGTTATGGATTATTATGTAAATAAGAACATCACATTAGTTACTGTTAAAATATGATAATCTAATCCTTATTCATTGGGAGGATCTCTGAGGGAGTAGGCAATACTGTTCAACTTTACCTTCACCAAGATGTTGTTCAACCCATCATCCTCGTCACTTGCAGAGGCTGACCTCCTGATGCGCTCGTTCATGTGACTACGCAGATTTCTAACTTGATCGAATAGAGGAATAAGGACTTCCTCTACTTTAGAGTCCGGTAAACCTTTCCCAGAGGTTGCTTTGGGGGATCCCAAATACTCCAATTACATTAAGGCTCTTCTTCATCCTCTTCAAGTGGAGGCCGGACTCCATCAGTCTCAGAGTCTGTTTCATCTAGCCACTGTTTAATCTCATCATCATTGGGTTCTACATAACTGGTTGATATTGATGGCTCAGCCTTGGGTCATCAGAGGACTATTCATCAGACTCTAAACCTGGTATTCTACTATCCTTGGCCTTGTCTTCCTCAGTCACAATAGGAGTGATGTGGCAGCTGATCAATGGAGCAAGATCAATGGAATTAATATCTTCATCATCTGAAGATCCAATGTTATCAGGATTCCTGAAGATAAACCTCGGACTGCTCATGTTTACTGAGAGCACTCGTATGCTATATGTAGCACAGGACCCAAAACCGTATGTATACAAGAGACTTGTGTCTACTGCTTCAGTCGGGTGTTTCTGTGTATTGCCTTGTTCGCAGCAATCCTTGGGTCGCATCAAAGGGACTGTTCTATAGTCCCAGATGCAACAGGAAATTCAATTGAAAGTTTCCCTTTCCATTTAAAAAATGATTCAGTCATTTATTAAATTTAAATCTGGGTATTTTACAAATGCGCAAACATGATAACAATTATATTTACCTATCAGTGGTATCATCAGATATTATCAGTCCACCACCACTAAACAACATTTTTGCTTGATATTAAAAAAAAATTATTTTCTTGCTTAAAAGATTTAGGAACCAATGAGTGAAAGAGATTTCCCATTTAAGTCAGAATTTTTAATAAAGGTGAAACAGCTCTTTTTTATTATGTAAGAGCCCCCACCCCCTGTGAAACCTACAATACCCCCCTTCAAATACTTTCAGTTAAGGACCTGGACACATTTTATGTGATAATTTGGCTTTAGAGTTTATATAGAGTGTAAAAAGGTGCAAAATAAAAAAGCCCAAATTCCGAAAAACGAAAAAAATGTCAAAATAAAACTAAAATATCAAGTTATTATTTCAGGGTTAGGTTTGGTCACAGACTATGCAGACTGCTTTTACAGGGTGGGCTATGTAGGCCTATAGATGACCCAACATGACATGCTACATTTTTACAAGGTTATTAGAATGCTATATCACTGCCACTTGTTGCATATAATACCCATTCAGGGGTTAAGTTTTACAATTTTTAAAGAAATACTCCAATTTAAAACATGAAACATAAAATTGATGAATTCAGTCATTTTTGAAAATTTTGTGTTTTGTATCCAAAGGATCCTTAAATATCGATCCTGAATACAGATTTTTGCCAATTGGCTGTGTACAAAACTTGTACACAATAGAATATGCTGTGGAAAATATCATATGTTTCAATTGATCTCTGTAAATCTCTTATCTCTGGGTTAGGTTAAGACTGTTTCTTTGTAGTAATATTTTTCTGAAAAGTTAGCCATGCCAAAAGTCATTTCTCCAGTGTTTAGCAAGCTGTAGACAAGAAAAAATATTTTTAGAATTCCTAAATCAAAGTGAAGATATTTATTTTTATAACTTGAACACTGATTACGCTATAACCGTGCCAAGTATACTTAATGAAATGAAAGTTTAAGTGAAATGTATTTTAACTTCTAGCTGCGGCGCTGGGCCCCCTAGCCTGTCCTAGCCAGTCCCTGAAATAATACATCCCTTTTAATAGCAATTTTCTGGTAATTGTTCAACTAAACCAAAAAAAAGAACAGTTTTATTTATTAGTTTTTTAAAATTTAATATTTTGAATGTTTGTTTTTTCTCAGATTATATATTCCATATGAAGTTTAGACATGTAAAACCTAGGATGATCATTTTAGGAAAGTTTTTGAGAGTTTGAGTGTTTGTAATAAAGGTTTTCTTAATGAGCCAGCTGTGAGCCATTAAGAGCCAGGAGCTGCCGACCATAGCAGTGTTGAATGGGATATAATGTTCAATCAGATCCTGTTCATGTTATGACTATGTCCTAGTAACTATTAATTGCTGTAAATATTACATTGAAATCAAAATTTGCTTCATTTTTTGTCCCCTACCACTGTAGATGAATACAGATACAGCAAGCTGTCCTGCAATGCTTCCGTCAGACTTCGGAAAACTGACTTTGAGAAATTTCAACAGAAAAGTTTCGAAAAAATTCGAACATTACTGTCTTTTTTCACATAAAAAGTGGATTTTTTGTAACATTGGAGGTTTTGTAATTTTGCGTTTTGTTGAATTGGGGGTTAGGTAACATTGGTCGTTTTGTAATTTGGCATTTTGTAATTGGGCGTATTGTTGCATTAGGTATTTTGTTGCATCTGCGTTTTGTAATAATTGGCTTTTTGTTTTTGGGCGTTTTGTTATTGAGTGTTTTGTACCCACTCCTTTTGAAGTAATGCAATGAAAAGGTGAGAAGAAAGTTTTACTTCTTTTATGTATCTAAAAATTAAGCAAAAATTGAGTATAATATTGTTAGTTCCCTGTCTCCTGAGCAGGTGTCTGCCAAGCGTTGATTGCCTATTGGGTTTCCTGAAGAAAATTGTTTTAAAATTATTTTCATGACCTTCATTTTATGCAGAATCATATTTTAAATCATATTAATACTATGCCAATTATTCCTGTGCATCTAATGTTTTTATATCCCAAGCCTTAGGGGAAGTCCCATAAAAAACACAAACAGATAACAGTCATGAAAATTGACATTGATAGTTTAATGTAACTTCAATTAAATCTAAGTCTACATGAGATTAACATGTTTCTAATGTTATTCTATTTTGTATTTAATATTACTTTATAGCATATATGAGATTAACATTCTTCCCATCCCTACCTTCTTATCCTGCAATATCAATGAAAATAAAAAGAACAATGCAGTTTATATTATTCTGATACTTGGGGAAGCCATCTATTTTGCCCTACTGTTATGTCCCCCACATGTGTGAAGCGGTCGATAACGATCGCTCGAAAAAGCTGCCAAAATTATACTAAAACAATAATTTAAACCATTAAAATGTGAATTATATAAAAAGTAATTACTTTAGACGTATTTTTTTGAACAAAAATCACGAAAATGTTAACTTTGTAAAAAAGTGGAGGGGGTCTCACATTTTTTTCTTATTTTTGCGTATCCTCTCAATACCTGCCAAGATCTCCACTGAATAAAAACAAAAACAAGCAAAAATATGCTTGAACTTGGTTTCTGGGTTTTCAAGTTACGCAAAACTTAAAAAAACAAATTAATTTGTAAACCGATAAGGGGGTAATGGGTGACTAAAGTGAGCGGGCGATATCGACCACTTCGTACATAGATGGTTAAACAAGTATTTATAATTGTTATTATTTTGAAAATATAATTTCATGGTTTGTTTTGAAACAAATAATCTTAAAAACTAATTTTCAAAACAAAAAAAGATGGTTTGAAAATTGTTCGATCCATACAGAGTCTTGAAAGTCATAAATAAATTATCCTCCTGTCTACACTTGGTAACTAGCTTTATTGGGGTACATTTTTAATTAAACTTTATTTACCTAATTTTTAAACTAATGAATAAATTTTTTCTGTTCTTATTTGTCATTATTTTATTGATTAATTTTTAAAAATGTTAATTCATATTTTGGTGTCTCAGTCTATAAACTTTGTTAAAAGTTAAACATCAAGATGATTACCTAATGCACACAGTTGGTTTCCTCTAAACAAATCAGTGTTTACAATGCATTCATTTATTTTTAGCTGATGCTCTGGAGAATATGGAATAGAACAATTTTTGATTTTATTCAATGATTTTTAAAATTAGAACATGTAAGTGGATGTTTAGTTACTGATTTTAAGTAGAGATTGGCATTGTTTTTTGAACAAACAAATTTTTTAAAAACGAACAAAATTTATGTTGAAAATGGTGAATCTCAGAAAAAAATTTGAGTGGATACAAAACGCCCAAAAACAAAATGTCCAATAAAAAAGTATAAAAACAAAACACTCAAATCAATGAACACCCAAGATAACAAAAAGCCAAAATTTACAAAATGTCCAAAGTTACAAATTTTCCAAAGCTACAAATTGTCCAAAGCTATAAAATGTCCAAAATTAGAAAATGTCAAAATTGTGAAATGTCCGAAATTACATAATGTCGAAATTTACAAAACTTCTAAGGTCTGTCCTAGCCGCAGCACCTGGTTCAAAAATTGTCTTAACCCGACCTAACCCTGAAATAATGCATACATTTTAACTATTTTTGGGTTCAGTTGAACTATTTTTATGTTCATATGAACACAAAATTGTATTATTTTAGAAATAGGTTATGTTAAGACGGTTCCTGGGCCAAGCACTGTGGCGAGGACAGGCTGTAATTATATCTTATGTTACTGAACCGTGTGTTAAAATCTTACTAACTGTTATTATTAATTAATAATTAAAAGTTTTTTAACTTAGGACATTTTGTATCTTTGGTTATTTTGTAAGTTTGAACATTTTGTAACTTAGACATTTTGTTACGTGGGCTTTTTGTTGTTTTGGACATTTTGTAACATTGGACATTTTGAAATCTTGGGTGTTTTGTTTTTGGGTGTTATGATTTGGGGGTTTAGTTATTGGACATTTTGTTTTTTTTGGCGTTTTGTATCCACTCCAAACAACTTGAATCATCAAGAAAAATGAAAAATCGACCGTTTTTTAAAAACGAACAGAAAAATCAAAAATTTACAATTGTTTGAGCAAGCTTCAAAATTAAGTAAACGAAAAAATTATCCTAAAGATTTTTTAAAAAGAAAATTTTTAATGAACAAACAATTCTTTTTAACAAACTTTTAAGAAACGATATTTTTTTTTCTGAATATTTTTTTTAAAAAGACTCTTATTTATTACTTAACGACCGATTTTACTGAAAAAAAAACAATAATTTTACAGAACCAATGATTTCAGTGAGAAAATGAACCAAATAGATGAAAAATGAAAGATAATTTTGAGAACAAACTACATTAATTTTATGTTGAACGATTGAAAAAACGAAATGGGTCCTTCACAAACAATGAACTTAAGAAATTCAAAATACCAAACAGGCCCATATGTAAATTTTAGAAGCAGTCTATACTCTATATGATGTGAAATGTATAAAACTAATTTAATATTAGTTTGATTAAATGAAGGATGTAAGTACACCTCTGAAAAATGCGAGTACACCCTTGAAGGATGTGAGTACACTCCTGAAGGATGTGAGACAGTGAGTACACCTCTGAAGATGTGAGTACCCCTCTAAAGGATGGAGTACACTCCTGAAGGATGCGAGTACCCCTCTGAAGGATGCAAGTAACCCCCTGAAGGATGCAAGTAACCCCCTAAAGGATGCGAGTAACCCTCTGAAGGATGCGAATACCCCTCTGAAGGATGCAAGTAACCCCCTGAAGAATGCAAGTACCTCTCTGAAGGATGTGGGTACCCCTCTGAAGAATCCAAGTACCCCTCTGAAGAATCCAAGTAACCCCCTGAAGGATGAGAGTACCCCCCGAAAGGATGTGAGTACCCCTTTGAAGGATGCAAGTACCCCCCTGAAGGATGGTATTACCCCTCTGAAGGATGAGGGTACCCCCCTGAAGGATGCAAGTACCCCTCTGAAGGGTGCAAGTACCCCCCTGAAGGATGTGAGTACCACTCTGAAGGGTGCAAGTACCCCTCTGAAGGATGTAAGTACACCCCTTAAGGATGATAGTAACCCCCTGAGGGATGTGGAACCCTCTAGGAGACCAGAAAAGAAACAATAAACTCTTCTCTACTTTTAAACCAAAGCTGCACCTGGAAGAAAGCAGGGCGGCACCTAAAGAATACAAGGTAACCCCTGAAAATTATGAACTAGCCCCTTCAGGACATAAGGCCTCCCTTTCTATCCTGCTCAACTTTCCATAATCCTCAATTAGATAAAATTGAATCTAAACCTATGCAGGAATCTAACCATGAACCAAATATCCATGACCAACATCCAATCTCTGAATCCCCTGACCAACCTCCTCCTACCAGATGGTGTAGTAAATCCTGTGTTTGTGTATTGCTTGTATAAGTTCTGTATGATTTGCCCATCAAGAACATGGACTGGGCAGGTTCCAACGTTCTCTAACCTTTCTGTTAACAGTTAGTTCTAACCATTAAAAGAGTAAAATTTCAAGTAGCTGTTAATTTTAAAGTTAAGAACGGCAAGTCCGTTTGTTAACAGCATTTACAGTTTTTTTGAAATTACGTTAGTTTTAAATTTTATCTATGGTGTCTACCCAAAAATGTCAACAACCAGTTAAAGAAATTTGTCTCAAATACTAGAAATTTGTCTCAAATACTAGAAATTTGTCTCAAATTCTATAAATTTGTCTCCAATACTAGCTGACCAGCTGAGGCCAATTCTGTCTCTCGCCTTCCTGGATTCAAGCATCAGAAACCCAGGACTAGGAGGAGAAGAAGATAGAGAATTATGGACATGCAAGATGTACCTCTAAGGATGTGAGGTCTCCCTTGCAGGCTGTAGGACCCCCCCAGTTTGGGGAGAGATCCCAACCATAGGTAGCAGGACCCCCCATGTGTGAGAGTACCCAACCACAGGTAGCTGGACTGTGCCAGGTGAATGAGAGTTTCAAACCACAAGTAGTAGGATCACCCAAGGTGGGTGAGAGGTCCCAACCCCAGGTAGCTGGACCCCCCAAATGGATGACGGGTAGTGAGACCCCCCTGGTAGATTGGAGTTTTCAACCCCCCGGGTAGATTGGAGTGTTCAACCCCCCCTGTCAGATGAGATGTCCCAAATGTCCTAAGTCCCTCAAGAGAATGAAAGAAATCCAGCACTGACTGTAGAGACCTCCTTGATGGAGGAGAGAGTCTGCAGGAAATGGTTTAGGCGCAATGACACAAATTACCCAAATCTTCCTCTCCTTTAATTTCTTTTACTCCCTCCTCCAATATATCTCAGTTAGACGGTGAAAATGAACCTGCAAAGCGAACCTAAGCCAGAACAGAGTCAGACCATGAATCTTATATCTGAACCCATTCCACCTGAGCTTGAACCAGCGCCTGGCCTGAATCCTCCACTCAATATTGTAAATCCTACGTTCGGATTTTGTCAATATACTACATGTTCAATATGTCCCAATAAAACCAAGGAAAAAATTGGAAATTATGATGCCTGTTTTCCTAGTACGGATAAATCAATACCAGGATGTAAACATATACACTGGCATAATAAGAATAGACACTTTTTTACAGCTAGTGAATGTAAAAAATCTAAATTGTGGTAAAATTTCTTTGCAATAATTGTATTGCAATAAACATTTAGATTTAAAAATAGATTTATGTAAATTATTTGTAATGATAGTTTTTTTTTTTAGTAAAGGCTGTTTATTTTTGAATGGGTATTGTCACTTGTTAATTAATTGCATGGACTGGTTTGTTTCCTTAAGTTCCACTCATCACACCTCTCTGTTGTGATTTGGACATTTGCTTTCTGAAGTCTTGTTGTTGGAGTCCCAAGTCTAAATATAGATATTTTTTTCGTCTGTCATTGATTTTTAATTTTTCACCTGCCTTTCTCTAACATTTATTTTTATTTTTTACAACAAGTTATTGGAGATTTAGCAAGACCATATTGAAACCCCAGGTTTCTGATAATAACACCAAGCTTATCATTTGAGACCCCAATTTTTTCATCAGAATCTAGGGATGGGCAACATTTTTATGAACAAAAAACAAATGATTTATAATTGTTCGAACAAACTTAAAAAATACATTACATGTTATAGATATGTAACCCCCTCCCTCTGTGGTATTAAGGGCAGAGGAGAGGTTGGTTAATGGTTAATGGTTAAGGTTAATGACCTAATATTTTTTCTATTTATTTCAACTTACTTTTTTAATCCGAACCCTATAATAAATGCAGTCTTTCCAATTACTAAACAGTTAACCATAAAATATAAAGATTCTGCTTTCTAATAATATTTAGAATATATATATGTTTTGTCAAATTTTTCAAAAAGAATAAAAAATGGCATTAATAAAGCATTATGTAAGTATTGTTTAAGTAATGATGGTTTTTCCTGATGGTTTAGGTGCGTATGGATAGCAGATAGGATTGATGGTTAAGTAGCATTCTAATTCCACGTAGGTCTTCAAAGTAAGAACAGCCAAATCATGTCCTGAATTCATAGAGCTAATGTTTATTGAACTCTTTAAGTTTTAAACTCAGTTTAGGGGGGTATGAAAATCTAAAAAAAGTTTAGTAAACTGCTGTTACTGCAGACTAAACAGACGGCTCATACTCACTTGTTACATTCAGGGGTTAAGTTTTTCAACTTTTAAAGAAATACTTTAATTTTAAACATAAAACATAACATTTTTGAATTTTGTCTATTTATGTTTCATATCATAAAGGATCCTTAAATATCCCTGAATACAGATGTTTGCTGATCGGTCGTGTGCAGTACTTGTACTGCTGTGGAAAATATTGCATAGGTTTCAATCGATCAAAATTGTTTAAAACATAAAATTCTGCTATTAGAAGTCAGTCGGTTTTTATACCCCAAAAATGCGTAAATTTTGCGAAAAAACAAATGCAGAAAAAAATGTGTGGAAAACTTTCCAAATCGCAAGGGAAAGAAAAATTGGAATGATATATACTTTGGAGAAAAAACTCAGCGGAAGCGGTTGAGATCTAGCCTAGACTCTATGCAGTCTAGAATAAGAAGTTCAACTTTTTTTCTCAAATTTAAGATTTGTTCATCCACTAAATTTGTATTTTATTGTTCTATTTTTATAAAATTTTCATTAGTTCAACCGCTGAGATAATACATTTTCTTGCTTTAAACAGTGGTTTTAAAATTTTTCAGCAATTTTTTTTATGAACTGCTGTGTTTCTGATTTTCAACATCTTTTTGCTTTTTCTTGAAATATGTTTTTGCTTTTAACCGCTATGTTTAAGTTTTTAAATACTTTTTTTGACTTCAAACACTTAAAATTGTCAACAACTTTTTGTGTTTAACCACTGAAAAATATATTTTTTTTAAAGTCTTTTAGATTTCAACTGCTGTGTTGAAGATATTAAATATTTTTTTTTGCTTTCAACTGATGGTTTTAAGATTTTTCGGCAAATTTTTTCTTTCAACTGCTGGCAAACAGTTTAATATGAAAAACTGTTCTTTTAACAGCTGGGTTTTGGATTCTAAACAACTTTAGCTTTCATCTGTCGGAAGAATTGGAAAGTTATTTATAAAAAATGTTTCTCTTTCAATTGCTGAGTTGTAGATTTTTAATTGCTTTTGCTTTCAACCAATGAAAGTTTTCATGAAATAAATTTTAGGCTTTTAAGATTTTAAAGATTTTTCAGCAACTTTATTGCTTTCAGCAACTGGAAAAGTTTCTCTTGAAAAATTGTACAAAAAGAATTTGCAAAAAAAAGTTGGTCAGCCCATTGCTGATTTGCTTTGGGTAAACATACATGGACAGACTGAAATATAGTTGTATTGTATACATACATGGAGTTCACTTCATTAAAAAATTTTTAAGGAAAAGAAATGAATTAAAACTTTTAATGTGTAGCAGATATTTTCATGTAGTAAAAATTTTTTTGAGCAATCAATTATTGCAGCTGAAACACTATAGTTTTGTTCGTAATTTTCTTTTATGAAAGGATTTTGGGATAAATTTGTGACAGAGATTGTTGATCTGTTGATATTGATGAGCAATGTTTAAGTTTGGCCTAAGTCAGTATAAAAGTAGTATTAGATACATCAAACTATTGAAAAATTGGGACAAGGAATTCTTAGCACAGATTTTACATGTTGTATGTCGATTTATAGGTAATTGGGCAAAAGGAATTCATTTCTGGGGTAAAAATAAATATTAGAGCATTCTGACCGGCGCACTAGTTGCCGGCAGTTACATTATGGGTTATCTTAGCACAGATTTTACATGTTTAATGTGGATTTATAGGTAATTGGGCAAGATGAATTAATTTCTGAGGTCAACATAAATATTGGAGCATTCTGACCAGCGCCCTAGTTGCCGGCAGATACATTATGGGTCATGTTGTATGTCGATTTATAGGTAATTGGGCACATTTTGCCAAATTATGTAACAAGGCTTTATGCAGCCTAGCATGGGTTATCAGTTTATTTAGTATTAGTAATCAATAAATCATTACATTATATATGCTTTGCAAAAAAATTGTTTGTTTATTTGTGAGCATTCATATCAGGTGCAGCCAGGGGCGTATTCAGGAATATGTGAAATTTTGTTTTATTTTGTGGGGTTTCTCTGCACCCGTTGGGGCCTAAAAACAACCTTAATCTTAATTACCTTGTGTGATTCCATCCATCACCCAACCTAAAATAAATTAAATATAGAAATACAAAATATAAATTAATATGATACATTTATAACCAGAGTAAAAGTACAATAGCAGTTATACCCATATATCTTTATGGAGTATGGCATTTACCACACATAAACTTATACCCATATTAGAATGATTTGAAGTACTTGGTAATGTCGACCAAATTTAGAGCAATTCTTGAAAATCCCCAGAGAAAAGTTTTTTAGAACCAATTTCTGGGAATTTCCTGGCAACCATTCCCAATATTTTCTCCAGAATTTCTCAGGAACATCTTGAGAAAGTCTTAGAATATTACTGAGTAAAGTTGCTAACCAATCCATTTTTTAAGCCTAATAGCAGTAAGCATCTTATCCCACAACAGGCTGGGGGGAGTTTATACAGGGCGGTAAAAATAAGGATGCAAAGAAAGCAGATTTTTTTAGAGCAGAGATGAAATAAGGAAACCACAGAGACACCTATTTGGAGAAAAAAAAACTTGAAAAAACTGTAACTTGGGTGACCAAGTTCTGAGAATTTTTCGCAGAAATATTTCTCAAAATTAAGTCTCTTATTTAGTTTCCCAAAAAGTCTCTGAAATTGGAAACAATTTTGAAGAATTACTTGAGAATTTCAGAAGAATCAGTCACAAGAATGTTTTACGAGAAATTCTGCAGAAATTTTAGAAAATTCATTACTTTTGTTACTTGGGCAATAACATACCCAATATAGTAACTTGTTGTGCTAATTTAGTTAACTATATCTTTAGGTACTTCCAGCTTATCTTTTATCTGGTAGAAAATCCTCCTACCTGGATGAATATCAAGTTTTTCAAGATTCCTCAGTTTTCCATAGCCTAAAAAGAGATCATTTAGATGAGAGATACATGATCCAACAACATGTAAAACTAAATATTTTAAATTATATATATTATATAATATATATTTTTTTTGCTAATTATTATTCTACTGAAAAGAAATCAAATAAAACTGCAATAATGGCGTAAACAAATGTTGCTGAAAATGTTTTCTTTCCAATGTGATCAAAAAAAGCCAAGAAGTATTTGATTTAGAACTGTATTTATGTCTGCTATTTAATCTAATGCTGCATTTTCTATGGCCGGGTGTATAATTCATCTTTATAGGCCAATTTGCCTTACTAGTTAATCTTAAAAAGTTGCAAAATTATCTGTTGGAAAAATGTATAAAATAAAATAAGACCTTTTGAAACATCAATTGTCCTGTACCAACCTAGTGTATATTTAAGAGCTTTTTTTAGGGCCTGCTGTAAATTTCCTCTCAATAGTATGATTTACATAACTTGAAAATGCACTCTAAGAAATTTCAAATTTTCATTTAACAAAATTTGTTGGAGCACCAGCATCAAATTTTGTTGAATGAAAATTTGAAATTTTTTAGAGTGTGCTCAACTTCTTAACTTTTCCAACTACTTCTAATGATGCCTAGGGTTGTTAATCGTTTTTTAAACTGATAAAAAATTATTGTTTTTTGAATCTTATTTATTTTCAAAAAAGGATATAATCTATCAGCAGCTTTCTAAAAATGTATAACTAACTTTGTTAAATCAAAAAAGGAACTGTTACAGATGTAGTGCATTTTTATTGCAAAATCTGTGCAAATTGTTTCCAAAAAGAGGTTCGCTGATTTCAGCTTTCTAAAAAGCTATTGATCATTAGGATTGGATCAATTTTAGTTGTATTATAAGCAAATTTATTCTAGGAGGCAAAACAGACTTATTCAGGCAGAAGACCTGGACCCTAAGACAGTTTTCAATAAATTACATTTTTTCCCAAGATTTTTGCATTTCACTTCTCTAACCTTAATAGTTTTTAGCTGTGTAAAAATAGGGTTGGAGTTGGCCCCTCCCCCTTGCAATAGAAATAAGATTAAGAAGCATAAGCATAGTTTGTGATATTGTACAAAACTGACCTGACTTGCTGGAATCAGTGACCCCCAAGTAAACTTGTACATCATGTACTCCAAACCTGTTACATGTTTTGTTAACATTCATAATTCAAGTTTGAGAATTTTATTTGTAGGTTTTAAGGTCCTTTTGTTAAATAAAGTATGTCAAATTCAGATTCCTAACTGCCTCCAGAGAAAGCGAACCTATCTTATGTGGTTCAAGAATTACAATTGGGGGAGCACTGTGTATAGTTGCGCATCTTGTATCCTGCAGGGGAAGCAAGGAATATACATAGATTAAACAAGGAAACTGAAAGAAGCGGTTTAGCCCTTGATGGGTAAACAAGTCATGCACAATGAAGCAGTTTTTTACTTGACCGGCTGTGAGGGCTGAACTGCTTTGAAAGATTCCTCTCAAGAGAGCTTTACAGGGCTTACAACTTCCCATTTTGCATAAGTGGTGCATTTATGGGTTTCCTTAATTAATGGAGGGAAATCTCCAATGTCAAGCTGTACACTGTCATATTTTTGACAGCGAATATAGACAACTGTTGCTGAGAGTTCAATCCAGAGTTCAGAAAAAAGATGAGAAAGTCAGGGATGGGAAATGCTCTATGCTAAATTCCTTGAGATGGTCATCATTTTTGTAAACAAACATAATTTTTGTCATTCAGAAAAAAGAACGATCTGGATGAACAACTTGATCATTCAAAGAAATGAAAAAAACGATATTTTTTTAAAACTAACAAATAAAACAAAACTAAAGGATTTATAACTTTCAATTGATCTTGATGAATGATTTCTACAGCAAAATTTTGCATGGTATAACACAGCATATATGTAAACTATGGACAGGGCTAAGAAATCTTTTAAAACATTACTTTTCGGCAAATTGGACAATTACGGAAATGCCTAACACTTAACACTTACTGCTTAATATAAAACTAAAGCTGAGAAAAATTGCGATAGGAATAGAAAGTTCTATTTATTTATTAACAGAGATTTTGTTGAAATTTAGAGTTTAAAGAGTTAAATATCTTCTTATCACAAGTTTCTTAGGCTAAGAGTTTGAGACTATAAAAAAATTTTAACATGTGTTTCCTAATACAGTCCGAATTGGTGCAGTCTTCGTCATTGTCATGAAAACAGTGGGCCGCTGATTTTCAATAAAACAAACATTATGATGATGTGTTGATTACATTAACCCTATTTTGATTGTTACGTCATTTATTATTGTGACACAAATCTATGCAAAACAATTGCAAATTGGCAAAAATTGAAATATTTATTGCAAAATTTAATCATTTAGCAAAAAATGCACAAAACTAAAATTGTGCAAAATACAACAAATGCTATAGTTTTTCCCATTTTTTGGATATTTTTTTTCAACCCTTCCTATACTATAGAAGTGGGTCTAATTTTTTTTTTACAATGAGCTGGCCTTGAAAAATTCAAATCTATACCTACTCTCAGACCTTTTTTAAAAAAAAACACCCAGTTGGATTTGGATTAACAAAAATTTTCTTTATTGTTAGGAGAAATTCTTTCATTTTGTATGTATTATTTAATCTACTCAAAGTATTTAAAATTGTTCAAAATTATTGATATTGTGTTCAAAACTCTAAATATCTTGTTCAGAATTTTCAATATTTTATTCAAAATTATATATATTTTGTTCAAAATTATAAATATTTTGGTAAAAATTATTAATATTTTGTTAAAAATTATAAATATTTACAAATTTGTTTTATTTCCTGATAGTACATGGCGTTTAGTGATAAGTACACCTCCACAATGACGATTCGTTCCTAAAATTACAAGGAAGGAAGTTTCAAAAGTGTTAGATTTACGCACACTTGTAAATTCAAACTTTTTTTGTACATGCACATTCTTTTCTAACAAAGAACCAACCTTGAGACCTAGGCCAAGCAGGAGGATTTAAGGAGAAAATTACACTGAAAACTGTTAAAAAATAATTGCTTTTTTGGCTAATATGTCACAAATTTGCCTCTAATCTAGGGTTTTCCAGTTGTAATTATGTTGCGAGTAATTACATTTAATTATGTGTAGCTCTTTCTTTCACTTACGCAGGAGCAACGCAAAATTACATGTTTATTATACAAAAGAAAGTCTAGTTTTCTGTAATTAAGGCATAATTACGCAAAATTACATAACCTTTCCCAAATTAGTAAAGTACATATTAATTCTCAGAAATGAATATAGCAGAAAAATGTGTGTAAGTAAATGAAATTTACATTAACATAGTATTGGATGAAATTTCTGATTAACCTGAGTGACAGTACTTTACTAGTAAGTTAGTTTTTTACTTAAATTTAAAAGTTAATACTTCAAAATTTCACAAAATTAGGTTGTAATTTACACAAAATTTTAACTTTTCTAATAAGGCGCAACAATAGCAAAAATGTTTGCAAAGTTAATTTGTAGAAATTCTACTAATTTTGCATAATGATAGTAAAATTTTACGAAATTACATTTTTTAAATTAAGCAATATCACGCCGTAATTTTGCGAAATTTAAGTTTCGCTAATTACGCAAAATTGTGCTGTAATTTTGGGAAATTACTTTGTAGAAATTACACGAAATTATGTTGTACTTTGGATTGTTCTTGATAAGAGTGAACAGTCCCTTGAATACAACGGGATACCAGGGATCAGTACAACCCGAGCCGTAGCAGTAGACACAAGTCTCCTGCACAATACCGCTCTGGGTCCTGTGCTACATACAGCGCACAGACAGCATACAGAGGGAATCTTTCTGGACGAGTCACAGTAGAAGAAGATGAACCGGGTTCCCATTATNAGGTGTAGAGAGATTCATGAACTATACACAGCAGTTATAATAAAAAAATTGTTGATGAGTTCCAATCTAAAATTTAAGTAAAATTATCTACACTCATTATATTGCCTACGTTGATAATTAACCTGCTAAAAAATGTGTTCCAAAAATGATAGAATGCGTTTAAGAGGGAATTAGTTACATATTGTTAATTCTATATTACTGAATACATATGTAAAATGCATACAGTACCTAGTACAATTCAGTTGTACAAAATGTATATTGTCAAAGGGAGATGCCCCCCCCAGGGGGGATAAACAATATGCAATAAATTTCATATACTCAGCTGTATTGAATATTGAACCCTAAAATTAATTGGCCTCAATATTTTGCTGAATGATTGTAAAAATGTGCTGAATTGGAAAACAAATAGTTAAGCTGAACCCATATCAATAAATAATGGGGCCAGACTTGGCTTTGCATCAAACCCAAGGTTGAAAAGGGTTAATACCCCTTTTTCACCCCCTTGAATATCTGTGCAGGACTGCCTGTGGAAACTGTACCAACCAATGGCATACCAGGATACACAGGGCTCCATCCGTAACAGAGGTGCGTCATCTTCTCTGCCAATGGGATGAAGATCTACGCCTAATACCGTTTGAACCAAAACACACAATATTCAACCAAGGGCGGAGATAAATGCACCAGGAAAATGGGAAAGATTGCTCATTCCGATTCCAACCAGGATAAGAAAAGGACTTCAGGTATACCCTGGACTTAAATTATTTAGACAGACGGACTTTTAGTTAGTTAATCTGTAGGAATAATTAAGTTGCCTAGAGTGTAGGGTAGATAGAAATCTCTAGTCCAATCCATCCTAAAACAAGAAAGTGAAAACTTTTGTTCATATTATTATTAAATAGTTTCGAGTTCGCAAGAATTAGAAACTTAAAAGTTCACTTGGGTTACCCCAAATCCCTGGGAATAATTATATATAATATTAGTTTGAGTTCGGAAGAATTAAAACTTTTAGTTTTACTTGGGTTTCACAATCCCTGTGATCAATTATATATAAATTTGTTAGTTTTGAGTTCGAAAGAATTAAAAACAACAAAAAATTTGTTAATTTTAAGTTCAAAAGAATTAGAAATAAACGAATAGACTGAGTTCCAAGGAATTAAGACTCAATACTCTAAAGTCCCGAGTTCAATTGAATTAAGGACTGAAAAAGTAAAATTTAACCCTCTAAAATATTCTCTTAAAATTATTCTTAAGGCAGTGTGGAAAGATTAATAGTAATTGATCTTTAACAATGCCTGGAGACGAGAATAATCCTAATCTCCAGCCTACTGGAGCCTCCGCTGGGACGGGAGAAAATGTTATTTCTCCCCGCGCCAGGAGTACAGCAAACTGGAGGAGGAGTTCCAGACCCCACTCTGCAGGCAGTAGTTAACCTCCAAACGGTGTATAATGCGAATGGAGGACCTCCTGCAGAGAGAGGGAATGGGAGGAGTGGAGCAGAGTATGAAGGGAGGGTTCAGAATGGAGGTAGCAGACGCACCTCTGGTCAGAACCCCCAGGATTCACCTGCTCCTCCTCCTAATCCAGCACAGAGTGACCCTCCTGTCGCTGACATGGCGTTGAAGGAAGGGAAGTTCTCCGTGCTGGACAGGCTGGAACCCCTAGGAACAGAAGAGGAAGACCGTTATGTACCCGACCAAAATGAAGTCCTGTTCAGCAAAATGAAATGGAATTCTGATGGACAGGACAGTTTTGAAGATTATGTGGTACGAATTGGAGGATATGCACGTACATTAGGAGTAGGAGAAATATGTTTCAAAAATACATTATTTCAATCCTTCCGCCCTCCTTGCTCATTTATTGTATCAGATATGGAACCTTCTATGTCTATGTACAGAAAGATGAGTATAAATGAGTATGTACAGGCCCTCCATGAACGGTTAGAACCTGCCTCTGCTTGTGACCTCATTTATACACAATTTAAAGAGAGGACGCAAAAAGCAGGGGAAGTATACGACCTATATTTAAGAGATAAATATAATCTCTTTATACGGTCATTTCCTACTGGAAAAACCAGGATTTTTAAAGAATTCTGTGAATCCAGTATTAGAGGATTGCATAATGAAATCCTGAGGACTAAAGCACCTGATTTCCTCTCAATACAAGCCCTCAATGGTTTTAAAATTGAAACTTTTGATCAATTAAGACGAATCATTCAAGTTTCAGTTGAAAACATTCAAGCTAGAACCATTGCAGGAGAGCTTGATGCATCAGATGCAGTAGGCACTGACATCCGTCTCATGAATTATAGCTATACTAATGCTGCAAGTTCCCGCAAAAAGGAGAGGAAAAGCAGATATGAGGTAAACGTAATAAATGAGAATATGGATGAGTAGGAGATTGCAGCTTTTAGAAGGTTCAAGAAATATCAAAATCAGACTGGTTATAAAGCTAAAGGGATTAAAGGATTTACTATTCTGGGAAGGCAACCTGTAGAAGACGACATTTGCTATAATTGTAACAGGAAAGGTCACTTCAGCAGGAATTGCCCCCGGAATAATTTACCTGGACGTTATCCAAATGTCAATAAGGTAGAGAAATCCAACCCTGACACCTCTGATGATATTACAGGAGACAAGGACACTTCAAGCTCTGATTCCGATCTAGAAATAGATTATGTGAAAGAGAAGAAGAAACCTAAGCCTAGCCAAATGAAAAGTAAGAAAAATCATCACCATATCTATCAGATAGTTGAAGAACAGGGTGAACAAATTAGTTCGCTAAATGCAAAAATGTCTGAAATTTGCACCCTGAGCTCACAGCTGTCCAAGATGATGTCAACTATGTCAGGAAAGAGAGGTGAAGTAAACACCCTGGGTGCTACTTCAGTATTCCCTCCTGACATTGATGACATCAACAGAGAAGGCAGTGACGACGTTTTTGCTTTTTTATAGGCAGCTCATTATGTCGCCCTAGCCCGAATGCACAAACAGAGAAATATGCATCTCTTGGATACATTCGGGCTATGAAGAGAGGATCCAGAGTCTTTATCAAAGCATTGATAGACTCTGGAAACCTCTTTGGCGACATAATGAGTGAGAGGCTAGCCAAATTACTAAGTATCAAATATAAACCATGTACAAATAAAGCTGGTACGGCTGTTGCAAACCAGAAAGTACATGTGTTGGGTCTAGCAGATCCATTTGATTTAGTACTAGAAGGGTTAGAGGATCCTATTACAATTCAACCTTATGTAATTCGTTCTTTAAGTCATGATTTAAATCTTGGAGAACACTTTTTACGGAAGGTATAAAGCAGGATTAAAATTTGAGGGAAATAATGTGACCTTAAATTTAAACAATCATAGCTTAGAATTGGTTAGCAGGTCTAAAACACTAATAAGGAACTTTAAAGATCAAAGATTTATTAGTGTTATGGAGAAGGATAAAGAGTGTAGAAATATTATTACATCTATACCTGAACCTAATCCTAATTGTATTGAAGTTGATGATACTGCATTCTCAGTAGAAACTGTACTTAAAACAGTGCTACCTAAAAACACATTAACATTTGTTGAAGTGTATACTAAGATGAATGCAAGTATTGGATTTTTTAAGTGCAAGGAAAATAATGCATTTATGAATTCAAACCAACTTTTGCCTTTGAATGGTTTGTTTAAATGTGATAAAAATAATTTTTTTGTCCCAATATTAAACATGGGGGATAGAAACACAATTTTACAGTCAAAAAGAAGGATTGGAAATGTGTACCCCACTTCAAATTTGTGTTCAAAGGCAGAAATCAATCAATCAACCAATCAATCAATCAATACACTAAGTCATAAACCTGTACATGAATTGTCTAAGGAAGAAGTTCAAGAAAGAAGAACTTTTCTTAAAGAACAATTAGATGTTAAGAATATGATTATAAATCAAGATCAACAGGAACAAGTTATAGATCTATTCATGAAACATTTCGATGCTGTGTCAGTTAGCAGTGAAGATTATGGTTCATCAGACCTATTACAGTTCCATATTACCCTTTTACCTGGCTCTCATCCTGTACGAGCTCCTTGCAGGCCATTAAATCCACTTCAAGAACAAGATTTGAAAATTCAGCTTGATGAGTGGTTGGCCAGCGACGTCATAGAACCTTCTGTCTATTCAAACTATATTATATATAAAAATGATAGTATCATTCAGTATCATAAACAAACAAAATTATTGTTTCATAATATGTAATGAATTTTTTTTAATTCCCTAAAAAAATATATATATAAAACTATATTATATATAAAAATGATTGTATCATTCAGTATCATAAACAAACAAAATTATCGTTGTCCTTTGGTTTATATGTGATGAAGTTTTTTTAAATTTCAAAAGAAAGCAAAAATTTGAACACGTTTTTATGTTTAAATATAAATGATGAATCCAACAGTCTATGGTTGAGTTAAGTTGAAGTCCCATTACTATTTATGATCCGTATGGCAGAGAATATATTTAGTGTATATGGGCTGCTATGTGAAGCACCAGCGAACATTCCCTTCAAGTTTATGTGAACGAGGTTTTTTATCTCTTCCTTCCCACTCCCCCATTTATATTCTAAACCAATTCCAGATACTCTCATCAACACAAGCTGACATACTGTTCATCCTCTCATTCTCATTCTCATCCTCATTCTTATCCTCATTCTCTCATCCTCTCATACTCATTCACACCATCTCATCATCATTCTCATTCTCATTCTCATTATCATCATCATTCACATTCTATCATCCTCATTCTATCATCCTTAATCGATCATCTTTATTCTCATTCTCATCATCATTCTAATTCTCTATCTCATCTTCATCCTCACATTCATCATCATTTTCATTTTCATCCTCATTCTCATTCTATCAATCTCATTCTCTCATCCTCATCCTCATTCTTATCCTCATTCTCATTCTCATCTTCAGTCTCATTCTCATCCTTATTCTCATCCTCATTCTCATCCTCATTCTCATCCTCATTCTCATCCCTATTATCATCCTCATTCTCATCCTCATTCTAATCCTCATTTTTATCTTCATTCTCTTTATAATTATATCATCCTCATTCTCATCCTTATTCTCATCCTCATTCTCATCCTCATTCTTATCATCATTCTCATCCTCATTCTCATTTTCATTCTCATTCTCATTCATATTCTCATCCTCTTTCTCATCCTCATTCTCATCCTCATTCTCATCCTCATTCTCATCCTCATTCTCATTCTCATCCTCATTCTCATCCTAATTTTCATTTTCATCCTCATTCTCATCCTCATTCTCATCCTCATGCTATCATCTTCATCATGATTCTGTTATTATCGTTCATTCCTATTTCATCCTTTTCATGCTATTTTTCAATATTAGGGGAGGAGAACTAATGTTTCCGAAAGGTTGCTATTGCCTGCAGCCTTACAGGCTCTCAATATCATTGATGGTTTCTTGCAGTTTCTTGTGTCTGTGTGTGTGAATGTCGGGGTGTACGTGTGTGTTTGTTAATCATTTTCTGAGCATTCATCATGTTTTATTTGATTAAAGCTGTTTCTGCTTCTATACTATACAGATCAAAGGAAATCCCCCTTCATTCCCTTACTATCTTCTTATCTAGCAGCATTTCCCCCTAGCAGTCATTTACCATCTTTCATATCATTTACTTTCCTTTCCTTTACTTTCATATTCTTTACTTTCATATTCTGTACTTTCATATTCTTTACTTTCATATTCTTCCTTTCTTTTCCTTTACCTTCCTATCTTTTACTTTCCTATCCTTTACTTTCATATTCTTTACTTTCATATTCTTTATTTTCATATTCTATACTTTCATATTCTTCACTTTCCTTTCCTCAACCTTCCTATTCTTTCATTTTATATTCTTTACTTTCTCATTCTTTAATTTCTTTTACTTTCTCATTCTTTACTTTCATATATTCTTTTCTTTTATATCCTTAACTTTCGTATCCTTTACTTTACTATTTTTAACTTTCCCTTTCTTTAAAATTTTCTTAATTTAATTCTTTTTTATTCTCAAACCACTTTCATCTTTCCTGTTCCAATCTTTTCTCTTTTTTGTTTTATTTCATTTCTTGGAAACAGAAACAAAATTAAATATTTTTTTGTACGTATATTTTGAGCTTAATGAGAGAAATGTTAAGAATTTTCATTTTAAATAACACCTGTACTATTTTTGTAAACGAGATAACAATCCAAGTTTTATAAGAGATAAGAACTTTATCCCTGTTAAATATGGGATGAGGTAAAAATAATACATTTTTTTCTAAAATTTGTTATTTTAGAATCCAAAAATTGCGTTCTCAGTTTTCAATTTAATTGTGTCCATTTTTAGCACAAATATTTTATTTATTCCTTAAAATCTCTATTTATTTATTTGTTAATGAAAAATAAGTTCAGTTCATATTTATATTTGACGAAAGCATGTTTACAGTTCTACTAGCTCTAGTTTTAATACTTGCTTGTTACTGGTTAACTGCTGGAGTATCTAGGAAACTACCTGGACCAAGGGCATATCCACTTATAGGATCAACAATATGGCTTAAGTCTAAAAAAGGATGGTTTGATTGGGCCATGGAACCAAGTGTGACAAAAAATCCAATATCATGTGTTCAAATCGGACCAACCAAGAACCTACATATCATTAATGATTTTGATATTGCAAAGGAACTATTTTCTAAAGACATATTCTCTCATCGTTCTTGCCTTGGTTACCAACTCAAACATAGGTTCGTAGGAGGATATATTTTATAATATTAACCGGGGNCTTGGAAGAAAACAAATTAAAATATAGACTTGAACTCTGCTTTCCTTATATTTCACCCTTTCCTTGTAAAGTTTTTAATTTTGTGTTGCTAAGAATAGCATTTTTGGTTTTAACAGGGGGCGGGGTATTTCTGAAGAAAATATATCTCCCTGCAGGTTTGTGGAGGTGGATAAACCTTCAGGTATAATCCTAACCAATGGTGAGCAGTGGAGTAACCAGCGAAGGTTTGCACTAAAAAATCTTAGAGATTTTGGATTTGGTAAACAGTCCCTTGAAGGGGTGATGAATTTTGAGATTGATGAATTAATTGATGGATATAGAAGCAGGTCGGGTGATATACTGATCAGTACAGATTTCAATATACCAATTATCAGTATACTCTGGCAGATTGTTGCAGGATCAAGAATAACTTTAGAGGACTCAGAATCTGTAAAAATGGTCGATCTTGTCACAGAAATATTTTCTAAAGGTAACGCTGATTTTGGTCTTCAAACAAAAATGGTCTGTTCCCTATATTTTTGCAACCTGATGGTGCAAACCTAACATTATTTGATCTAAAAGGATAAATAACTGAAATTTCAAAGTTCTATACGATGTTGGGTTACAAAGAAATAGGGATTAAAAATTAAAGTTTGTGGCAAAAACTCCTTTTATTTTTTGATATTTTACATTATACAAAGGTTCTATTTAAAATCAAGAAAACTTTTCTTAGTATTGCATATTTTATTCAAGATATTCCTGAAATTGTCATCAGAAATATTTTACAACATACTGACCAAAATGGTATGCAAAATACTGACATCTGATAATGAAAGGAAATTGTGAATAGATTAACAATAGTTTTGTTTCAGTTTTAGGTTTATGATAATTTTTACTTTTGAGTTGATATGCCAGTATAGATTACAAAATTGAGTTGATATGCCAGTATAGATTACAAAATTGAGTTGATATGCCAGTATAGATTACAAAATTGAGTTATCTTCTTTCAGGTTTTGGACTTTTAATGATTCTACCCTTGAGAATATTACAATTTTTTCCTAATATAACCGGGTATTCTGATAGAGCCAATATTATGGAGGAACACAAGGCATACATGTTAAAAATCATTACTGAGCATGAAGCAAGCTTTCAAACCGGGCAACATAGAGACTTTATTGATGTGTACTTAGCTCAGGTGGGTTCATTTGTTCTAACTAATATTGTTTACCAAGATGTATAGCTTGGAATCGGCAGCGATCTGATAACGAACAACTAGGATTTGAAAATTAATGGAGGATTCATTAAACAAACGAAAAAATCCGTTAATTTTTAGTTCAATCATAACGTAAATAACTGTTTATAAAAAATGGAAAGAAAAGTCCGAACAAATACTATGAATTCGGTTACATCAAATAATCTTGAAATATCAATAGTTTACGCCATCAGGTTTCACAGATACAGGGATTAGAAAATTTTAGTTGGCGACAAGGACTCAGTTCCTTTACTCCATACCCATATGTATATGCATGTATAAAAAAGAATCTTTAAACAATAAACAATTAAATCTAGATGATGGCGGATAAAACTGGAAAATACACGAAGGGAGATCTTTGTTCAGCAATGTTAGATTTTTTCCATGCTGGGACAGAAACATCATCAACTAGTCTCAAGTGGGCTCTCCTCTTCCTAGCACTTAATCAGGTATTCTTTTCTGTGCTGGGACAGAAACATCATCAACTAGTCTCAAGTGGGCTCTCCTCTTCCTAGCACTTAATCAGGTATTCTTTTATGTCTTAAACAGGATCCTATTTTGCAAATATGATATTTGGATTTTTTGTATAACTTAGCCCGCCATTGGTCGATGTCAAGGTTTTCAAAGAAAGAAAAGGTGTGTTCGTAATTTTGCGATTCGTGCAAATTTGGAATTTCTATGAAAAATTCCAATCGGTATTCTTCTTCAAAGAACTTTTTCATTTAGAAATATGATTAAAAAATACTAAACAAACAAATAAAATATCATTAAATTAAGCCAAAGTCTTAAAAATGGCCGCCTGAATGTTAAAATTTTAATTGAAGCTGGCTAAGAAGCTGATTTTTGTGTTATATTTTAAATTCTTTAATTAAAATTATGTTTTCTTTCTTTGATAGGAGGATCAAGAGCTGTGTAGAAAAGAGATAAAACAAATAGTTGGAGACACCAGACCACAGGTTTCTCATATGCCAGATCTTCCATATACAATGGTAATATAATCTTTTATAATCTTTTCAATCGTTCTATAAAAGGGACTGCGGGCACAATTTGAAGCGATTTTCATTTTTTTGATTGGCGCTTCCGATTCACAATGGTTCCCTTCTACCCGTTGTCCAAGCACAAATGAATTACGTATATTTTTTTGTTTTTTTCACTCAAAATTGATTGTTTCAATTGTGGTTTTTCTATATTGTGACTTGCGGACTTATGCAGCTGAATTGACACTGGAAATTAAAAGAATTTAACACTTTTCAAGACGATGTTTTCCTTACTGTTACTCAGATAAAGGTTTATAGAGAGAGTACATTTGTAAATCGTACATTCCACTCTGTAAATTAAGGATCACTAAAAATACCCCTACAGTTCCTTTAAACAAGAGATTGGTCTGGTTCTAAACCTTTTTGAAATTTAATGACGAAACTTTGATGGTATCTTAAACCTGTGAAATCATATACTCAGACAGCTAAGTCATTTTCAACCTTAAGGGTTCAATCTTAGACGTTATATACCTAAATCAAACAAAAGGGATGATTCATTTGGTGTACTTTCCCGTTTTGCCTTTAAATATCATATGCAGAACTGTACAGCGTGCTCTAGCTGCTTCAAAGTTGGTCCGATTCTTGTACTGAACCAAAATTTACAATGAAATAGCGCACGTCTTGGAAATGGACAACTTTTCTCGATTTAGCGCGTTAAATACCATTCAAAAGTTTGTGTTTGTTAAACAGTTTTGCCCTCTAATTTATTTCTCTAAATCTTGTTCTTGAGAACTTGGTTTCGAAATATTCCCTAAAATATTTCTAATTTATGGCACACCATGATCTGTCTTCTGTTTTGATTTATTATAATTTCTTGTGATATTCAGGCCACAATAACAGAGATACAGAGATTAGCTAGTGTTGCTCCGATGTCGTTACAACATGAAACATCGTCAAAATATACTCATCAAGATTACACATTTCAAAAGGTATTTTTTGTTATTGTATGTTTCTGTAAGCTGTATCCCGTAGTTCTGACAAACTCTTGTACGAGTATGAAACGGATTTTTGTATTTTAATTGTCGTCTTCATTCCAATTCCCAATTAACGTGATTTTTATTCACATTATTACGCTTTTTAAAAAAAGTTTTATGGACACTGATTTTATTCTATATATGTATTCTTTTTCTCAATATCAATATTTCGTTAATTCTTCTCTTTATAATTATTCCCGAAAATGTCTTTTCCTTATTCCGAAACATTTCAACAATTATGACTTCCAATATTTCAACCATTTTACAATTGATTCCCAGTCCTATATAGAACCTACAACTAAAATAATTTTTTTTCAGAAAATCCAGCTTTAAAATACTGTTTTAGGGATCCCTGGTTCTGGTTAATCTCAGTTTTATAATGAAAGATCCAAAATATTTTGAGAATCCCCTGAAGTTTAATCCACACAGATTTCTGGATCAAGATGGAAAATTTGTCAAGAATGAAAGAATAATCCCTTTTGGTATAGGTTAGTTTAAAACATTTTATTATCACATTTTACTAAATAAGTTGATTTCAAGTTAGTGTAGATAATGGTGAAAATATTTGCTTTATAACAACATCCTATATACCAAGGACTTTAATAATATGCATGATATAAGATCTATCGAAAATTAATTTTGAAATTGTATATATTTGAGGTTTTATGTTATGAAGAAGTTGAATTAAGTATGGTAAAGTCGAATTCAGGTTTTCAAGTGAACTCTCATCCACCCAAAAGAAGTACTTTTATCTGTACCTAGTTCAACTACTTCTTGGCATTCATTAATTCCGACCTTTGTTAGGTAAAAGGTTCTGTATGGGTGAGGTGTTGGCTAGAAATGAAATATTTCTGTTTCTCGTAAACCTGATACAGAAACTACAATTTAAAACTCCGATCACCCATCCACCACCCGACCCTGAGAACTACTTGACCAACTTTACAAGAATACCAGATGATTTTTATATTAACATTACACCTGTTGTGTAGTTGGGATAATCAAAAATTTATTTATTTGTTTTGCTTATTAAATAACAAGTTTCAATGCTATTTAAGATATTCACTCTATTAGCGCTAGCGTAAAGACTTTGGATCAAAGTGAAATAGTCTATTGTCATTTAAAATCTACTAATTTTACAAAAATTAATAGATTCTCATAAAAGAGAAGACGTAAATTAAAGTGAACTTCTTTCTGAAGATTGGGATACCTGATTCAAAAGGTACCATTTAAACCTATATCTGAGTAACAATTTTTATATCTTAAACGGATTGAATTTTCCTTTGTTTATCTGCAATATAAATTCCGCAGGTTGCTAATAATTTTATATAGTGGCCACACTTAGAAAAATCAAAACAGGAATATCTCTCTTTCATCCTTAATCAGACTACGGATTAATGGGCAGCGTTGTGCACCGGACATTACCCTCCATAAATTAAGGTATTGATGTCTGCAGTTTCTCTATTTTTATCTTATCACAATTACATAAGGAAAATAAGTTTAGGAATACAGACAAGATTACGTATAAATCTTATCAAAGGAAATGAGTCTTTGCCACAAACTCTGATTTTCTAATCACTATACCTTTGGAACCAAATGTTGCAGACGTTAGATATTTCAAACTATGAATTCTGTTAGATCAAATAATCTGAGTTTGAAATATCAAAGGTTTACAACATCGAGTTCTAAAGATATTGAGGTTTAAATATTTGATTTTGTTCAAAAGACTCCATTCCTAGCTTTGCTGGTTGATAAGTGGCATAAGAAAAAATAAGTTTAGGAATAAAGACAAGATTTCGTATCAGTCGTATAAAATTAGCTGGTTGATAAATGGCACTTGAAGCTTATAGAGTGTGTTTATCGATTAGTGTACTTCTCAGGCCTAAAAAGCTATTGGAAGTGAAGAGGTAATGTCTCTTACTCCCCCTCCTCCCCCCTTCGTGAATCCTCTACTTTGCCCCCCCTCCCCATCTTTACCCGCATCATAAAAAGCTATGCTATGTTGAAAGTATGTATAAAGACACAGTAAATATAAAACACAATGGGTTAACTAATCTTACTGCAGTAGAGTTGAACAATGTCAGTTTAACCGGTTAACTAGCCTAGACTTGACAACTAGAACGATATAAAGACAGCAGGGTGAATATAACGGTTGGATGAATTCAGAGTATTTAAGAACATGTGCTTCATGTTATACATTCATTACCCTATTCATCTTATAATTCATTATCCTATTAATCCTATACATTCATCACCTTTTTCATCCTATATATTCATTATCCTATTCATCCAATACAGTCATTACCCTATTCATCTTATGCATTCATTATCCTATTCATCCTATACATTCATTACCTTATTCATCCTCCACATTCATCATTATATTCATCCTATACATTCATTACCATATTCATCCTATACATACATTACCCTATTTATCTTACACATTCGTTATCGTATTCATCCTATACATTCATTACCTTATTTATTCTATACATTAATACCCTATTCATCTTATACATTCATTACCTTATTCATCCTAAACATTCATTATCCTATTAATCCTATACATTCATTACCCTATACATGTTATACATACATTACCCTATTCATTACCATATATACAGCTTATACATTCCTTACCCTATTCATCTTATAATTCATTATCCTATTAATCCTATACATTCATCACCTTTTTCATCCTATATATTCATTATCCTATTCATCCAATACATTCATTACCTTATTCATCCTAAACATTCATTATCCTATTAATCCTATACATTCATTACCCTATACATGTTATACATACATTACCCTATTCATTACCATATATACAGCTTATACATTCCTTACCCTATTCATCTTATACATTCATTATCCTATTCATCCTTTACATTTATTTCCCTATTCATCTTATACATTCATTATCCTATTTCATTCATTTACCTATTCATCTTATACATTCATCTACCTATACATTAATTTCCCTATTTATCTTGTAAACTCATTTGTTTACTAATAATAATACAATAATACAAGATTTAGTGAAATGATGCGCTAAATTTGAATTATTATTCTGATATCCAGAACAACAGAGACACTGGAAACTAGTTTTTTGTCCTACCAATATAAATTCTTGTTGTGGCAAGCAACAAGATGAATTTTATATTTGTACAGATAAGTTAGCCAGGTACAGATAAAGTTTTACGCTTTTATTGCGCATTGGAAACCCCAGTTTAAAAGCTCGAAAAATATATTCTGCACAATTTGTTCTCAGTTAATATTTTGTTCAATTTTAATAATCTAAAAGAATTGAAATAAGTGAACGTGAAGTCTTCCATTTCTGGCTCCTATGTATCCTTTTCAAATCAAAGATAATTTTATGTTACCCTCTATAGCAAAGATGGCAGTATCCTTGAAACCTTCATAAAAAATGTCGAAGATAACGTCGTCCCTAGCTTTACTTCAAATACACTTAATTCTTGACATCTACAATGATTTGCATTATTCTAAATTTTTACGTTTGTCTTGAAGTTAGAACCACGTTGCAAGAACTGAATATCATTTATCTTTTATCTTCAAATCTTCTGGAGTTATGCCAAACTGTTTACTGCAGGAACATGCAGAAAGATTATTCAGATTTTATTTTATCGAAATTGCGCGAATTATATTCGTTCCACAGGTTTGATTCTGCTATTGCAATATTTTTGCGAATTTTAATTAAGAAAGGCGAAGCATTTATAAAGATAATTTTTAATAAAATATCTAAAAAAAAGTATTTGAAATAACAAAAATAATTGATCTAAATACTTGATTTAGCCAGAACCAGGGGAGGGGGGTTCTCATCTTAAATTGTGTTCTTAACATCAGGAAGTAAATCAAATATACATTTTTATTCCAAATTGTAATTGAAGCCTTTTCGCGCGGAGGCCCAAGGGAGAAATTCACGTTAGTGTACAGAAATACGGGAAAGCCATTTTTGGTTTTTTACCTTCAGTATTGGACATTTTTAGAACCTATTGTGACTATAAAATATTTTTGATTACATAATTTATAATTATGTTTCTAGCAGGAGAAAAATAGATCTGCTTAACCCTATTCCTGCTGGGGGGGGGGGGTCAATTTGACCCCCCTGTAGTTTTTTTTACATAACTCAAAAAGTATTGGCCTGAGGCTGTTGAAATTTTCTGACTTTTCTTACATACCCAAAGCCCTCCCTTTAGGCCTAAAACCGGGCTTTAATACTAACTGCCTGAGTCCTCAGGCACACTGCCTGAATGACTGCTTTTGCCCGTAACAAACTAAATCTTTGTTTTGACCCACTTTCACTTGTCAGATTTTGATAAAATTTAGCTTTTTGGAAAGCCTGTGACATAAGGAAACGGATTGCACAAGTTTTGCGAAAAAAAATTGCAATTTTTTTGCAAACAACCTGTCAAAGGAAATTTACACATTTTTAGTTTTTCTTGATTAAAAATCAGGTTATTTAAAATTTTGCAAATTTTTTTCATATTTTGCATATTTGAAATGACATGGTCAAGGGCTTTTCAAAAATGTATAATTTTTCATTTTTTGGACAAATTTTTTGCAAATATTTTTACTTTGTAACTGGATTTTGCGATAAAAAAATTCAATTTTTGCAAATTTGCAAAATTTTTTTGCAGATTCTAAAAGTAGAGAACATGAGCTTTCTAATGATGCATCATTTGTCATATTTGGACATACAACATGGGATTTAGAGTGGGGGTCAAATTGACCCCCCCCCCTGCAGCATATCCTGGTTTTCAAGTACCCCAGCAGGGATAGGGTTAATTTGGCCATAAGTTGAGAATTTTATGGCGTTTATGGTACTAAATGATGCTCTTAACTTTCTTGTGCAAATCCTATAATGGCCTCTCGGTGCGAAAGAGCTAGGTCCGTTCAAGCAGTTAAAAATTGTTTTTTTTTTAAATATCAGAGATGAAGAATTGATTTAAAGATATTGTTAAAAGTATTACCGAAATTTTCCAGAATGTTTTTTCTAAGCATGATGTATAGGACGGGAACATTTTATTTTACTTTAAACAATATCGGTAGTATCGATAATTTGAACAGCAAAGCAAAAAGAGCTAATGTTGTTCATCGTTTTGGGATCATTTTAGATTGTTTTGGATCGTTTTTAAACTAAAACAATCAAAACTTACAAAACTGTATTAAGTTAAAGTTTGCTTTTATTAAACTTTGCATGAATATCATTTTCCTAAAAAAATAGGAAAAAATGATCCAAAAACTAACGTTACATCACATTCCTTTTTTGCATATATTGTCTATCAGGGTCAAAGTTTAACAAACTGTAAAAATGACAAATATTTAAAATAAAAAATTTAGACAACATTTGCTTTTTATACACTATGCCAAATTTTGACTTTGTAAGAAGATATTGGCAAAATATGTCCCAAACACGAACCAACTCAATGTTGAGTCTTGTTTTCATTAAAATCCGGAATGTGCCAATTCCAAACGTGAAAATCCACCAAATAGAATATTAAACCGGTTTTTTAAACTGAACTCTGTGGAAAATAAGATGCAGCTTGAATCCAAAAGCTCAAGCAGTAAAAAAGGTCCAACAACAGCTTAGACCCGAGCTGTATTTACCCGAATTTTTTAAATCGCGGGCCGGCTCAGAACAGCATTACCTTTTTATATTTTCAGCAAACCAACTTGTATTTCAAGTTTTCAGAATTTTCCCGAAATATTCCTTCTTTAGAAAAGATAATTGAAAATGTTTGGGAAAATGAAAAAAAATTCTTTATTTCACTGCAGGAAGAAAAACAAAATTAATACTTTTTAAATTTTTAAACTTTTTATGATTTCATTTGTTTGTTTTTATTCTCGATATTAATCTCGGGGAAGAGAATAAGCGGGAAACGCCTTCTCTAAAAAATTAAATGTTTAGTTAAAAAAACTGTAAAATAAATATGACAGAGGAATTAGTTATTACAAAATTTTATTTTTTGAACCTTTAATATTTAAAACTCTGATTTTAATTATCAATGATCCTAGCAGAACTTTATAGTTTGAAATATGAAAGGTCTACGACGTTGCAAAGATATATGATAAGATACTTTCAGTTTGAGGAGAGTAACAAAATCCTTAAATAAGAATGAGAAAAAAAAATTTTTTTACAGAAACATCTAGATTGGATTTTCATTTCTTCAGAAAATAAATTAAAGAAAAACTTGAAAACCTATTTGTAAACCAGTGGTTATTTCAAATGAAAACCAACCTGGGAAGTATTGTTACACGCCCTCAATCATTTTAAATTAGTTAATTCCTGCTAGATATAAAATTTAATGGAAAATAAAACCAACCGTCTCTTAGATGTTTTTGCAAAGTCAACATTTTGCACGGTGAAATAAGATTTAGAGCAAACAATTTTGGAAAATGTCAAACCTTAGTTTTTGCTCTTTCTTAAACATACATACAATAGAAAGCAGTTAATTTCTCATTTTTTAATTTTTTTAAAATTTTTTTTTTAACCTGAATTGTCTAAACCATATAGAATATAGAACAGGGTTGACGACTGAGTTGAAAATGCCAATTCTGTAGAATATTACAGTTCGAGCAAGGGCATGTAGTTCATCCATAGCCTAAAGATATAAGTTTTTTTAATTTAAAAATCCTAAAACTGTGATTTATTATTTTGTACTTTTATCATAAGAAAAAATCTTACTTTCAAAGTATTGTTCATTATGGATACAAACTTTTAAAATATATTCTTATTATCCAAAAATGACCCTGTATGTTGGCTAGAATTATTGATACGTTCTACCAAAAATCCTGAAGAAACCCTGTTTCGCCACCCGATTGTGTACATATGGGATAATAATATTTCAAACTTTTGGTTCATTGATCTAAGGAAAGGTCTTTTACACCAAGTTGCAAAGATAAAAGGATTTAAAGAAAATGTGTTTTAGATTGAACCCATTCAATACGATATACGGGGTGGTTCATTCAATTTTTATTCCTGACCCTTACCTGATGGATAACTTGGCAGAAGTGAGAAGATTGCAAGTTAACTGTGTCTGGCAGTGTACAGATTAGACCAGAATCAGCTGATTCGTACACCATCAACCTCAGGCAATCTCCCAGGTAGTAATCCTGGTCTAGAAATCGTATTTTTTGCAAGAAATTTTTTACATTACACGTTTTTTAAAATGATTCATTGTTTTTAATTTTTCTGATTTTACTTCCAAAAACCACAATTAATAGCTAAAAATGATCTAATATGATGTGGGACACCCTGTATTTGTATGTATGAATACATGTTAAAATCAAAAGTACATGGTTAGAATCTGCCCCATGTAGAAAAAAAAACTTAGACTTAATAGTTTACAAAAAGCAGGCACACTGAATTAACAGCAAAAAAAGTAATATCATGAATTTATGAAAAACTGAATCCTTCCTTCTGACCAATGGAACGGTTGTGTTAAGTTGGCGTTAAGATCACATTCTCCAGCATGTATATCATCATAGTATCCTGTGTACAATCTGTACAAATAAAAACTTACTACAAGGTGTCCCACAAAACATGACAATTGGTGATAATTTTCAAGTGTTTTCTTCCATAGTTTGTTAAAGTGACTGTTAAAAACATTTTAGGAGTTGATCGCGGCTAATATTAGTTCTATCTGATGTCCATGTCTTGAGAAATTGATAAAAAAGTTTAAACTGTGTAAAATATTTCCAAATGTATGTATAATGGATCCCCATTCATTTTAACTTAAAGAGAGTGACCGGCAATTTATGGTATTATTTGAACTGAGAATGTAGTACTGTGGAGAAACTTTTTAGCATTGATTTGAGACACATAAAAAGTTTTAATGATGAAAAATTACTAAGTTTGAATGCAAAGTCGAAGTTCAAAATCATCCATTTGGGTGTTTACGTTTTGAGAATTGATTTTTTTTTTATTTATTATAAAACGACAACAAAAAATGTATCAAAAATTCTACAGTAAAATAATTAATTGTTTAGGAACATATTTCTCAATTAAAATTTGTTAAAAATCAATGTTAGAATCAATTATTGCTTTTTCATCATTCTATTAAATTTCTTATTCTTTGGAAATTTTTTCGCAAATTTCTACAAATTCTTCAATAGTCATCTTTTCAATAAAAAATAAAGAAAATCAACAGAAAATGTTTGTGAACAATGAGAGATTACGGGAAATGAGTAACCATGAATAAGATTACTTATTTTTGATGATAAGAGTTAATTTTTATTTTCTCAACCTGTTCCTAAACAAATAATAAGTTTACTGTAGAATTTTTGTTACATTTTTTGTCGTCGTCATTTAATAATTTTTAAAAAAGTCGGCTTTGTCCTCAAACTCAGTAATTATACATCATTAAAAAGTTTTATATGTCGCAAATGAATCCTAAAGAATTTCTCCACAGTACTTCAATCTCAGCTCAACTACCATACATTGCCAGTCACTCCCTTTAACAGTCCCATTAAGTTGTGACTAATATGAGACTAATATGAAATATAAAATGGCAGTCATAATATAGAAAAAAATTATTTCAAAGTAAAATATATTTGAGTAAAAGATTTTTATAACGAAATAAATTGCAACAAGTCTTTAACAAGTATATGGAAGAAGACATTCAAAATGATTCACCAACTGTGATGTTTCTTGGGACACCATGTGCAACAAGTAAACATAAGAGTTTATTATATCTTTCTTTATTTTGCTTTACTTTCATTACATTAAAGTAAAGCAAAATGCAAATACGATAATGAAAATGTTGAAACATTAAAGATTAAAATAATAAACCCCTGGATAGACATAAATATGTTTGTGATAAATCATTTCTAATTTTCATAATTTTTCATAGTAAATGCTACAAAGTAATCACCACACAATATTCTCGGCCTGATATCTTTAAAATCTAATTGATAAAACGTTTTATTTTGACTTTTGATTTTTTAAAATGCATTTTTTAAAAGATGAAAGGTCTGCGACAATGTGTTGAAAAGATTTAGGGCAGTGACGCATGTTCAGTTTCTTTTATTTTAAAATTCTTTATTAATATTAGAAATTGAATTATATAAAAGTTCCACAAAGATATTACGTGACTGACCTGACCGCTACTAGAGAGTGGTACATGAACATGGGGGAGTGGAAGATACAGAAAGCTATCAGGATAACTACACTCATGTCATCATTCATCATTCAGAGTAGTCATTTAACATTTTTTTTATTCGAGGTCGGAACACTTAGTTGAATATCTCTTTGTTGCAAAGACCAATCTCGATATCCACAATAAATAAAAACTTTTAATTTGAAAATGTAAGTCCCTAAATCTTGGGCGCTAGACCAATGCTAGACGTTTTCTCTGTTCTGATTGGCTTTCCTGTATCTTATCAGAGCTCTCAATGGTTGAGGTAACCAAAGTCTAAGGTTCAGCCGTCTTGGGAGGGGGCCAAAGTAAGTGGGCGGCCTGGGGGAGAAAACCCGATTTAACGCTCTTAAAATACAGGTTTAAACTATAAAAGTTACGACTTATTTTAAGTCTAGGTTTTTGTTCACTTTTACCAAAACAAGAAAATGTCCCAATTGAAGATAGAAAAAAAGAAGATGAGAAGAAGATGATAGATGCTAAAACTATTTCAAAATAACAGAATTCAAATTGTTATGATGTTTGATCCTAGGATATATCTTGAAGATTGAACATACTTCACATGAAAGGAAATGCTCTGACTTTAAAATCAACAATTTCTCTGTTTAATGTCGTCTTCAAATTTTAAGTGTATTGATTGAAAACCAATTCATATTTGAGTTTGGCGTCGCCATGTTGATTTTCCTTAAAGTGTTTCGTTTTTTCTTTGTGTATTTAGTAAAAAGTTTGCAATTTCCTAAAAATTGAAAAGATTAAAAGCTATTTTCAAATTATAGATAACTCTTGAAGTTCAATTTGGAATCAAAGAGAGGATTTAAAAAATAAATGGTTTACCTTTTTCATTGGTTATCTTGAATTTCTTAGTATCTACGGGGCCCTGAAAAATGTTATAAGAAAACAGTTTCATTTTTTAAAATTAATTTTACCATTTAGCATTATAGTGTAAAGATAGAATTTATTTAAAATATTTCTAAACTCCAACAAATCTTTCTGAGCTTACTCTAAATGTTATATATATTGAAAAGTTTGGCAACTTGTACAACTTGAAGCAATTTATTCAAGTAAACTCTGGAAGGAATAGAAAGGAAGTTTAGATATAACTTGCTTTGTAAATATTTGCACGGATCTTCTCTCCTCACTTGTTATTATCAAATAAACACTCGCAATTTTATAGAATATTAGCTTTCTGTCAATAGATTCATTAGATAGAAATATAAACAAATATATATTTGAGATGATAGAAATTAACTTAACACTTACCAGAACTCCAATTTTCCTAATCCTCATATAACAACTATATAAACCATTTAAAACGTTGATGATAGAACTAGTTGAATTGATAGTATGAAAACTCTAAACTTGCAAGCTGCAAAGATATAAGAATTAGAAAATTTTGAGTTTGATACAAGCGTTCAGTTCCTTAATACACCAAAACGCTTTTTTCTTTCAGCAATTTCTTAGAAAAATATATTTTTTTTTAAATGATAAATTAGGGGCAAATTTTATAAGTAACCCAACTGATAAAATAAATACGACCTGTGGGAAAATAGGTTGATCAAGTGATAAAGGAATGATATAAGCTCTCGTAGCAGAGAACTTTGCATCTACACCAATCCGTCTTAACAGATTATCACGATAGTTTATTGTTTCCTAATTCTTAAAACAGTCAGTTTTTTTTTAATTTAACAAAGTTCAATTTGTTTCCTAACATTTTAAAATAATTGAAATCAAATTCTATTACAGCAAATTAGTTAAACTTCCATCACGGGGAAAAGCAATTTTTTTTTTTTTGATAACATTTTTTCTTTCTTTTGATGAAATTTTTTTTATTGTCACCGTAGTCTCTCTGTAGCTGTCTGTGGGTCCTTCATTGCTTCCAGATATTTCTTCTGGATATAGAACTTTCTACAAATATACCGGATATAGAACTTTCTGCAAACATACCGGATATAGAACTTTCTACAAATATACCGGATATAGAACTATCTGCAAATATACCGGATATAGAACTATCTACTAATAAACCGGATACAGAAGTATTTACAAATATACCGGATATACAACTTTTTACAAATATACCGGATACAGAACTATTTACAAATATATACTGGATGCAGAACTATCTGCAAATATACCGGATATAGAACTATCTACAAATATACCGGATATAAAACTTTCTGCAAATATACCGGATACAGAACTATCTACAAATATACCGGATATAGAACTATCTACAAATATACCGGATATAGAACTGTCTACAAATATACCGGATACAGAACTATTTATAAATATATACCGGATACAGAACTATCTGCAAATATACCGGATATAGAACTATCTACAAATATACCGGATACAGAACTTTCTGCAAATATACCGAATACAGAACTATCTACAAATATACCGGATACAGAACTATCTACAAATATACCGGATATAGAACTATCTACAAATATACCGGATATAGAACTTTCTCCAAATATACCGGATATAGAATTTTCTAAAAATATACAGAATATGGAACTTTTTGCGGACTATAAAAAAATTTTCGGGAAAAAATTTCAAATATATGAGCGAAGAGCTTCATTATATAGACATATGTATCTTTTAAACTTTCCATTCTCTTAAATAAAATAGTCAAATTTGATAATATTAATGGTTAGCTAGTATATTACCTTAATATTTTCCTGTTGACGCAGAATACTGTTATAAGAGTTGACAATACAATTATCAGAACAACAGTCTGATAAACTCTAGAATATAATATAATCAGTACAACACTCTGATAAACTCTAGAATATAATATAATCAGAACAACAGTCTGATAAACTCTAGAATATATTATAATCAGAACAATAGTCTGATAAACTCTAGAATATAATATAATCAGAACATCAGTCTGATAAACTCTAGAATATATTATAATCAGAACAACAGTCTGATAAACTCTAGAATATATTATAATCAGAACAACAGTCTGATAAAATCTAGAATATATTATAATTTGAAGAGAAAAGACTGTTGTGAAAACTCTAATATTTTGTTTGTAATAATACTTAACTAACCTTAAGCATTTGGAAAACGGATACGCAGGTATGAGAGATATTTTTAACTATTTTCGAAAAAAATGTTCGATATTTTGGAACGTTTTCGGTAGTACGATACAAAATGTAGACATATTTCAACCCATTTCACTTCTGTACTTGTTCAAGAGAAGTGGTTCAATTCAACTGAATGTATTTTAGTTCAACTCGATTTCATTAAATTTGGTTTGTGGTATATTTAGATTTAGGAAGATAGACTCTTGAAAAATTTATAAACAATTACATACTTACCGGTCCAAAGTAAACACAAATGTACAGATGTGGTTTTTCCTAAAAGGAAATAAATTTTCAAATTATAGTATGTAAGAAAAGGATCAAGAGTACAGAAACAAAAACTAAACTCTAGAAATATTATAAAAAGAATATTTCTAAATTAAAATTAACATAAATTAAGGTTGGCATAAGAGGGCTACGAAAAAATTCGAATTAAAGAACCCGATTACACTTCATAAAATCCTAATTTTTCTATTCTTCTCTCTTTGCAACAAAATAATGTAAACTGAAAATAGTTGAAACTTGAACTATATTCAGATCTAACAGAATATGAGTTTGAGAAGAATAAGCAGTTCATTTAAAATTAAAGTTTTGACTAACCTTAAATATAACGACGAGTATATGGTAGAACCCATGGCTAAGCAGAATATCCAGGTTAGAAAAACCATCCACATTGTCTAGATACATATTTTTCATATGTATTTGCAGGGTGTCTCTTTAAAAGAAAAGTAGGTTTTTGTGCGCCAATGGCATTATTCAAGACCGAATTAAGATTATGGCCTTTTTGGCTTTAAATATATTTTTGATCTATACATGTATTTGCAAAATTCAACTTTCTTTCGCATTTTTAGACATTCCTTGTAGAATTATTCTTTATAAATATTTAACAATGCCATGAAGTGGAATTAGCATTCAATTCTACCTTTTTCACGTTCATGATGTTAGTGTACTGCAGAGGATATTTTACACTAATGTACCGATCAATTGAGAGCAGCACTAAATATATATTTATTTTATTATTATTTATCTTTTATCTTCAAGTCTGGTAAAAATGGCAAGCAAGTGTTCTGTGTATTTTTAATATTGATTGAACATTCCTTAGTACACACATAGATCCAGACTGTTGTTAAAAGTTGTATTCATCTTTACGATTTGGTCGACTTTAAAGTGTTACATCGTCTTGGTCTTTGGTTTTACCTCACTTATCCTTTTTTATAGTCACAGACATAGACATTGTACATTTCAGATTTATAAAACACTTTCTTAGCTTCTGTTTTAGAAATTAATTGGCAAAATTCTCTTCGATATAAAAGTTTTGACTCAGATAAATGTTATATATCTAACCTAGTGAGAACAAGGCATTTCCCATTACAACTGTAAATACTGTTTGTATCAACCGACATTGTAGTTCTCGATCCCTTAACAAATACTTGTATCTATATATATATATATATATATATACAAAACATCACTCTCCACTAAAACCCGCTATTTCTTTGGTCAGAGTTCTGCAAATCACTGCAGTACACACTGAAAGCTTAGTTAAGGGTGACATATACATTGAATACTTTGGAACCCAGCTTTAACTTAAATTTAAACTTTTAAACTAGACTAAGAACACTCCTGTGGGGAAAATCGGTCCATTTGCCCCAAAGAACTGAGCTTTTGCCACAAGCTCAAATGTTATGGTCCCCATATCTTTGCAACCTGCAGGAGTAAACCTTTGATATTTCAAACTTAGATTATTTGAAGTAACAGAATTTATAGTTTGAAATATCAAAGGTCTATGGTATGGGGTTGCAAAGGATTAGAAAATCAAAGTTTGTGGCAAAGATTTAATTCCTTTGATTTTAGTTTTTTAGGCGAAGCCTGGTTCCCAAATTAAAATATATATAGAAAAATCTCGAATTTGTTGTTTTTGTATTTGTGTTTGTATGTCCGATCCTAAATCATCATAAACCTTTGTAGTAAATTGTCTAAAATGTTTATTCGAGAGTTTCTTATAAGCACAGGAGTTATTTTAGTCGAGTTGAGAAGGTTAAAAAACTCATTTTCCAGGCAAGGTTGGTTTTCCAAGATAGTTAATTACAATCTCTTTTAATATGTAATAATGATTATATTATTTTATATTTTTTAATTAGATTGTTTTAAGAATAAAATTAGAGAGAGAGTATTTATTTTCAAATACAAAATACAAAATAATAATGCATGATGGTTCAGCTTAAAATAAAACACAAAAGAAAATTTATTATGAGCCAATTAAAAATTGGCGTGTATTTAGTTAAAAAAAAAAGATAATTTTATTCATAATATTCAGGGTCTAAGGAAGACGGTTTATAATAGCATCAAATGGAGAATGAAAATAAATAATTAATTTGAGCAGAGTTCTATTATTAAAGACCCCTACATTCTAGTTAAAACATGAAATATAATTACTTATGTGTAGAGGTGCCACCCACTTCGGTGCTGTAGAAATGGGTAAAACTCAAAAATGTCTGAAATAATTTTAACAAATTTTAAATTTCCAATATTTTCTTTAATATTTTGTTCTCTCACCTGGAGTAAATATTTTGAAGCTACACTTGATATAAGAGGCAACAAGAAATCACTGTAAAGTTTTTAATTAATATTTTATAAAAATAATAATCTTATAACTTAAATAATAATCTTATAACTTTAATAATAATCTTATGACTTTATGATAATCTCATATCTGTAATAATAATCTTGTAACTTAAATAATAATCTTATGACTTTATGATAATCTCGTATCTGTAATAATAATCTTGTAACTTAAATAATAATCTTTTATTTTTAATAAGAATCTTATAGATTAAATAATACTATTATTTGAACATAAATAATAATCGTAGAACTATAATAATAATCTTATTTCAACTAAAATAATAATAGAATAATTTCATAATAAACTTCAATCATTAATATAAATCCAGTTCTAGTTCTTTAATATCCGATCAGATTCAAAGATAATATTTGTAAATAATTAGCGGTAAAGGAGTTGAGTTTTTGCCACAAACTATGATTTTCTTATCTCTATATCTATGTAACCCAATGTCGTAGATCTTAGATATTTCAAACTATTAATACTTAAAGATAAAATAATCTAAGTTTGAAATATCAAAGGTTTGCACCATCAGGTTGCAAAGATATTGGGATCAGAAGATTTGAGTTTGTGGCAAAAACTCAATTCCTTTGTTTGATAAAAATGTTAAAAATGTAAAACATGTTTAGCTTGAACTCCATTCAGGAAAATCATAAATTGTGGTTAAACTAAAGTGATGAATCAATTAAAAGTTACCAGAGTTATTATTTATAAAAATACAAAATAAGTGTTATTGTAGATTTTACCGCCTTTTAACCAACATTACCGACCCATGATTCCCTCAACAGAGGGACATTAAGTTAATTTATGTCCCTTGGGACAAATAAGTAAATAACGACCCGATCTGCGAAATTTTCATCTCAAAAGATGATGAAATTGTGTACAACTACTTTTTCGGGAAATTAAAATTATACCTAACCACAGGTTCCCTCGACCAATTTTGCTTACAAAATTGGTCTTGGTAACCCTTGGTAAAGTAAAATTCCCTTAACTTCTCTGTAAAGTGAATAATTATAAAAATACATGTGTTTATGTAACTTACCAGTACAAGGTGCAGGCAAGAACAAAGAAAACGAAGTTAACTAAAATAATTAATATTTGTAATAGTATACTAATAATAGTAATAGTAATTTTGCATATATTTGTAGGGCTTAGGCATATTTGGACAAGCCTGAACACAAGGAATTGTTTGCCAAATTGGCACTAATTTTAAGCACATTTGCAATAGTTTTGGGATATTTCAACATTTATGGATTGGTTTGAAGACAAAAATTGTATTTGTTTAAACAATTATTGCTCATTTTCTCGAGCGTAAAAATATTAAAGGACAACTTATAAATAATAAAAGAATTGAGTCTTTTTCACAATCTCTGATTTTCTAATCCTGATATCTTTGCAACCATATTACGTAGACCTTGGATATTTCAAACTATAAATTCTGTTAGATCAAATAATCTAAGTTTGAAATATTAAAAAGCTTAAACGATCAGGTTAGAAATATATCAGGTTTAGAACATTTGAGATTGTGCCAAGGACTTAATTTCTTTGTCAAGACGAAAAATGTTGTTGGTGTTTTCATAATGTGTCTGTATTAAAAATATACCAAATATACCTATAGCGATAAGAAATCCTGAATAGTAGCTGATATGTACGACCTGAGCCTCGATGTTCAAAATTTTGTACAATTCTTCTATATCTGTCGGTCCTACCACCTACGTAAATAAGGAATTTATTAAATCGGTATAATCTAATTATATATTGGCCTTTTCTGCTGGCTTGTTTACTAAAATATCAATATAAAAATTCAAATTTTTCAAATTTTGGAAATTTTATTTATTGTTATTGTTTTAAAATTCAGTTAAAAGTATTTCTAATTTACCTCATATAACAAATCTTTAGTAAAATTCATTTTTTCGTACACTCGTGGGCTCTGAAATAATTAACAGCTGAAGTTGTTGAATATATCAAAAGGATTTGAGTTTTTGCCACAAACTCAAATTCTCTAATCCAAATATCTCTGCAACCGGTTGGTGTAAACCTTTGATATTTCATACTTGGATTATTTAATCTGACATATTTCATAGATTGAAATATCAAAGGTCTACAGCACTGGTTTGAAAAGATATAGGGATTAGAAAATCAGAGTTTGTTACAAAGACTCAATTGGCCTTCCAAATGTTTTATACGTACCATTTATTTTAAAAATTTTACTTAACATTTTTTAAAAATACCTTATTAAAAAAACTACGGTTGATCAGAGCTGAGCACGTTCAGCCTTCTTTGTATTAACGTTCATGAACGAATAGTTACAATCTTTCAAAAGACAAACTCTTCACTTATCTGTTCGTTCTTAGCTAAGAACTGAACGTTAACAATATTTTCCTTTCTTTTTAAACCTTGACGGCTTGAAAACAGCTAAGAAATGTGTATGATATATTGAGAATTGATATGCTGAATATTTCTCTAATATCTGAACCTTTATATGCAGCAGACAGCTTAATACTGAAGTGTCAAACCATTCATTTGTTTATTTACATAAAGTGTTTACTGTTTACCAGAACAGCTAGGAGTGCCAACAATAACATATTTTTAATTTATTCATTTTAAGCTCTTTACCTTTTCAACGGAAATGCACAGAGAAAACTGGGAATATACAAAAAGTCTAAGTGGCCTGCACAATTGAACGTGTTTACATGTCATATTACAAGTTGTAACCTTAGACCAAAAACGGATTAACAATGAGAAAGATATCGTCGTTTTTACTGCTTAAAAATATTGAAAGTTTCAAGAAGGGAAAAAACAAAGATGTCTCAATAATTTTTTAAATTACGTCGGCAATTTCTTTGAATACTGTTCATTTATGTTTTTAAAGTGGTTAAATAGGCACCATTCAAATTATTTTCGAGGCGCCTACCTGCACTTGGCAAAAGTTTTAAGATAATAAGGCATTTTTCTAATAAAATTCGATCAATTAAAATTCACAATTTTACACCACGCCCAGAGGAGCAAAACATTGCCAAGTTTTTTCCCAGTTTTGACATTAAACGACGAGTTTCTCCTTCTCATTAAAATGATATGTATCAGATATATTTTCACAAAATCATAAGTTCTCCGCACTTAATTAAACAATCTCTTCCTTATTTGAAGTTTAATATAATAGACATTGATTTGATTAGGCATTGTCGTTCAGGCAGATTTCTAGATACTCATTACAATGCATCAGTCATGCATAATACACAAACCTTGATTAGATTCAACCTTTACAAACTTATCATAACAATCATCAATTTAGCTTATATCATCTTGGACACTCAGCACTGGTTCAAACATGGAGATTCATAGCTATTAGCCTGTATCATCTTGGACACTCAGCACTGGTTCAAACATGGAGATTCATAGCTATTAGCTAATATCATCTTGGACACTCAGCACTGGTTCAAACATCTGTTTAACTTTCTGTTTAACTATCTGTTTAACTATCTGTTTAACTATCTGTTTAAATATCTGTTTAACTATCTGTTTAACTATCTGTTTAAATATAACTATCTATTCTATCTGTAAATTATGTTTAACTATCTGTTTAACTTTCTGTTTGAGTAACTATCTGTTTAACTGTGTAACTATCTTGTGTCTGTGTATTTACTCTCCCTCGTCAAAAGCGGATTAGAATGTTTTATCTGGAAAGTGCCCCAACTGTGCCACTATCTAGTTCCTTAAAGTACCACCTCCAGCACCCTCCCCCCGTATTCCCCTAGTTAAAAGGGGACTTTTCCCTAGGGTCAGAACCCCCCCCCCTCATCTTGGGGGGTTCCTTGAGGAAGGATGATATGAGTCATGAGTATGGGAGACAGTGGGTGTTTCCTGTATGTCAGATAGCTAGGGATACAGATACGTATTTAACATTTGTAAATGTTCGCTGAGCTACGAAAGAACTGAATACTCCCCTCAAACTCTAATACTTTTGAATCCAAGCTTGACATGCGAAACCCTTTAAGAAAAACCAAGTTTGCTTGTATCGGGGTCCAAGAATAGGGTCATCATTACAGTGACTACCAGGAAACTGTGGAATAAGATGACGACCAAATAGCAATACTTTTGTGTATTTCATGTTGTTACAAAGCAACGTTTTAATAGTAACTTTTTATGGAGTCTACACAAAGCTATTGTTGTGTCTCATGTTCATTGGACTATTTAAAGTCAGAACTTGTTTTCTTATTCCAGAGTTTTCTGGTTCTCACTGTATTATTTTTACGATTGAAAATGCTGACATTTTTATACCTAGAAATTATCTAAAATTTTTGATGATATCTGCTGTTTTGAAAAACATTTTGAAATAGAGACAAATAATCTAAATGAGTGTACGTACACTGAATAGGATAAATTGAGCCATAAGTAATACAGAAATCCTTTGTGAAGAAGTTAGTCCTCTAAATTGCCGATTAGTTCCCCTTATTTCTAAATTTATTCAAATACTAAAATCTTGATTATCCCCCCTTGGGTCTGTTATGATTTTAACTACCCGGGACAGGTCTCGAAGGGTCCTATTAAATCTATATCATTTATTGTCCCCAAAGAATTCCCCCTGGTATAGATATCCCCCCTGGAATTATCATAATCCTAGATATCAGAAAAATTACTTCCGACATTTTATTCTTTAGTCGCTTAGTATTCCCTCCGATATAGTTTTATTTTACTGTACTAGATAAGGGACAAAATGTTACTAAAACTTAAAACTTTTTTATTTTTTATTGTACAACAAACGTTGTGTTTTCCTTAGTTTCAATTTGAAACCTAAAACTGAAAAAAATAAAATAATAAAAGGTTCAGGAAACAATGTAAAATATGACTATTAAAAACAATCATTTGCCCCCATTTATTGGTTTCAGTTTTAACATATCCGTATTTTAATATATCGATCTCAATCATTTTTGGCTTAAACAAGTTTTTTTTTCAACTTTTACCAACCTCTTTATATGTAATATTAGTAACTGCACAAAGAAATGAGTTTTTGCAACTCAAATTTTCTAATCCCTATAGCTTTACAACCTGATTGTGTAAACCTTTGATATTTCAAACTTTGATTTTTTTTTCTCAATTAAAATTTATAGTTTGAAATATTAAAGGTCTACGACATCGGGTTTAAAAGATATAGGGATTAGAAAATCAGAGTTTTTGGCAAAGACTCAATTTCTTTATTTGAGTATTTTAGTAATTTTAAATGGTTTGGTTTGCAATGCTTGCGTCAGGGTGTTGAAAATATAGACGAATTAAAAAAGTAAGATTTTTATGGTGAAGACAGAAGGGCATGAAGCGCCCCAAATTTTAAACCTAGTTATTTTCAAAACAATAATTTTAATAGATAAACAGAGAATTGAACTATAAAATGATTTATGTAAGATTTAGCCCGATCTTTGAACAGAAAGATAAATTTTCAAATTTAAATCTCACTCCATGAAATTTATAGATATATATTTGAAGATGTGAAGCGTATAGTGCATATAAATCTAACTTATTCTATAGTTTCATAACATTTATTCTAGTATATAAAGTTTGAATTGTTGAAGTTGATCTGAGAGCTGGATTTGGCAACCAGCTCCAGTCTATAATATAATTTATATCCTTAGAATAATTTCATGGTTGTCCTAAACATTTAAGCAAGGGGAACAAATAAATATGTATTTACAGGACTTGTTTAAATTTTGGAAAAAGGAACATCAACTTAGTTTCAAGTGAATCTGCACTTTGTAGATTTAAATGCATCATTTACAACATTTAAAGCTTTGTCTGATTAAGTATGAATCAGAACTTCATGTTTTTTTTTAGAACTGTTTATTTTTATTTGGGGTTTCTCTGCAAAAGTGACTTGCGCAATGCACAATTCTTGCTCAAAAGAAAAAGAATTAAACACTTGTTGAGTAAAGTCTTCTAAAGGAATTGAGTATTTGGAACAAAATCAAATATTTAAACCTCAATATCTTTAGAACCCGATGTTGTAAACCTTTAATTTTTCAAACTCAGATTATTTGATCTAACAGATTTCATAGTTTGAAATATCTAAGGTCTGCAACATTTGGTTCTAAAGATATAGTGATTAGAAAATCAGAGTTTGTGGCAAAAACTCAACTCCTTTATCAAATTTCCAAAAGTTTACTCATCTTGAATATAAAAATATAAAGAAAATTGAAATTTATCAATTCTCCGAAAGTTTACTTATCTTGAATACAATTCAATATAAAGAAAATTGAACTTTATCAATTCTCCGAAGGTTTACTAATCTTGAATATAACAATATAAAAAATTTGAGATTTATCAATTCTCCGAAAGTTTACTCATCTTGAATATAGCAATATAAAAAGATAAATGCAACCTCTGTAAATAGATTAAAATTGAAGGAAAAGTTATAAAATGATCTAAATTGTACAAAGTTAAAATTTAAGGATTAGAACCATCAACAAATGGTCAATCCTTTATCCAAGCACAATATATACTGTTGGTGTTAAATAAATAAATAGCTCGGCAGAAACATCCACTTTCAAATCCAAACAAGCTAAGATACTTACGTTTCCCTGGGCCGGGGTTAGAATTAAAGATGGTTGGTATTGGATAAGTACTAAAGGCAATCAATTTCAGATTTAACAGAGATAGTTTTTAATTAACATTTGTAAATATCAATGCTATCATCGTTTTGGTTTCTATTGGACACTGAGTTGGTTAAATAAAATGTACGAATTCATAACCACCATACCGCTTTCATACTATATAGTTAGACCGGATTAGAAAGCATTCATTATTCTTTAACTTAGAATACTATAGTTTCCGATTGGTTTCACTTTAAATTTAGAATTGTGTATCTATAATTATATACAGTAGTACTATGAATCTCTGTCTGTTTGCATGTTTGGATGTCTGATCATAACTTAGGAACCCTTTGGCCTATTTGCTTCAAATTTTGATTGGGGAACTCGGGAGAACAACAGGAATGTTCTTAGTTTGGTTGTGAGGGTCTCAATTTAAATGGGTCGACTTTTTTAGGGAAAAATGGCTAAAATCGTAATTTAAGACCATGCGAAAGAAAACGGCGGGAGTAACTATTAGTAACCTGAGGTCGAATTTAAAGAATTTAACCGCGGTTTAAATTTAAGTCGCGGCTTAAATATGGTTGGTTCCACTTAAAATTGTATTTAATGTTTCAAGATTTAATTCGGCACTTAATTGAAACCGGTTTTTAGTGGATTTAAGACGCGGCTCAAATTTATTAAATTCGGACACTGAACAACGATGGGTTCCAAAGGTAGTTATAAAATAAGATTAATATAGCACAGTTGGGTATTCTGTGTACTGTGTATGGATACATTGTATTATATTGTATTCTATTGTATTCCATTGTATTTTATTGTATTCTATTCTATTGTGTGTTGTGTATTTTATATTAAGGTATGGATTCAGAGTACAGTATTGTGTATTCTATATTAAGGTATGGCTAC